AGTTCAGACGTGTGCTCTTCCGATCTACAAAGAAAGATATAATTCACATTGGAACAATCAAAATTATACTGGAATGGGACATTTACAAGTCTCCCATCTTTTTATTTCCATACCTCAAAAAACTGCCAAGATCTTCTATCATTGCCTGACTTATTATTATGATCTTTGACTGCTTTATAAGTTTTCTTTAAACTTCTTAGTTTGGCAGCACACATTGGTCCCGTTATGTTATGTCCATTGTGTTTTAATGTTTTTGAAACCTCCTCCCACGTTTTCTTTTGAGATTGCTTTCCGTTGGTGAATTTTTCCTCAATTTCCTTGTAGGTCTGAAGCAGAAGCAGCACACAAGGTGTTGTCCACCTGTAAAAACTTCCTGAAAAAATGCAATACACAATATGTTATCATTACTTCATTCAGAGCGTTACTGTGAAGAACTAAAGCTGCGATTGATTTATAAAGTTTTAACTTACCTCCATCATCAGGATCGGAATTGCCGACACTTTCTTCAGTTGTTTGACTAACTTCCTCTTGCTCAACTTGCTGATCTGATGCTACTGCTGATGGTAGTAATGGATCGTCTGCTTGCAATGATTGTTGCTCCTGAAGAGCAGCATTCATTAATGATGTTGCAAATACCATGTCTAAAAAAACATTACTGGTTAATTAACATATATTACAATACAGTCGATGTAATTAGTCTTCCTATAAAGGCTGCAATTTACTTGATGCTACAAATGCTTCAAAGCGTTTCTCCTTTTCTTTTTTTCTTTAAGAAGAAAAAAAAATAATTAAAAGCATTTGTAACATATAGATCATAGCCGAGAAGGCATTAATTCTAATGAAAAGGTTAACTTTAGAGAAGACATTAATGATATTTGTACAGATTATTCACAAGTAACATGTTATATCACTTACCTTTAGTAGCACGAATAGCATCTTCTGCTGACAAGTACAATTCTATCATTGTGTCATTTATAGGATTGTAAAATGGGACTTTTTTAGCCATCGTTAATGTATCTCCGAATAAAAGGCGCGAAAATGACAACGACCACGCCGACCCACGTACGAACCGTGAGCGTTGTGAGCTCAATGCGGTCGCGATTAATGACGTCATTTATGACGTTTCGATCGCGACCACAACGATTGCGATCGTTATGTGGAACGGATTTGCAAGCGTTACAAGCGTTGCGAGCGTTAAGTGGAACGTACCCTTAGTACTTGGATGGGTGACCGCTTGGGAACACCGTGTGATGTTGGCACATTTTTTTTTTGCCAAATGGACAAATAAAAAGGCCCAGTGCTATTAAAAACCGAGAAAAGAAAGGATATTGATGTTTTATGCTTTTTTCAATTGCTTTTTATAATTTTTCAATCTATTCTCCTTTTGTTTCAATCTCTCTTAAATGTATAAATAAAATGTATTAAACTGCAAGATTAATTGTAAGAGTAGATTTTGCATTTGTTGACTAATTTTGTATCTGTTCTTTATATTTTCTTATTTTTCTTTTTTTTCTTAAATATTTCTTTTAAATCTTGAATAATTATATGACATGTATTATTATATGTATAGTAACATAAAATTACTATTGGCAATTTTTAAATATTATAAAGCAAAACCAAAATAGAAATAAGAAAAAAACCTTTAATTTCTAAAAAGATAAAATATCCGTAAAAGTCTTGTTTCAAATATAATTAATGATAAATGTAATTGCACAAAAAGAACAAAAGCCATTTAAAGCTATTCGATAATCGATATCTAATATTACAGGTACTTCAATTACTCATATTTCTTTTTACAAATACTGATTAGTAATATCAATTTTCTTGAAAAAAAAATCGAGAAAGCAGAAGTTTGCGATTTACTCGGAGAAATAAAGGCGTGCGATGATTACTATATTTTTAAGATTTCACAAGAATTTATTATAAACGATAGCGACTTATAGCGAATCGATCTCAGCGATATCGATATTTATTGCATATTCCATATAAACGCATATGTATCTTTGTTTTTATTAGATAATTGAGATTTCTCGCCCTCCAATAATTTCTCTCCTTCCTGTCCTTATCGAAAATATCGAAGATATTACTGACGATTCCTGTAAAACCGGGAACTGTCGTATCTCGCGTGTACACGATGATTCATTCTCGCATTTGTCACGAAACGACTTCGCCGACATGGTTATGTTCGTTCCTCGGAACTCGTGCGATGCGTTTCATTCATTCGAGGAAGCAGCAGAGAAATCGGTCTTTCGAGCTTACAGTTTTGTCATTTCGCCCCTCGTGACACACCGTGTAACCAGAAATGGGCACGCGTAGATAAATTCTGTTGACATCTTGTTGACGAAGATACGAGAAATACACCGGTGCGATATTTGTAATATTGCGATTTCGTGAGCGAACTTTTAGACTTTAGAGCGAACGTCTGAATGAGGATCACAATAGCCAATCGCACACACATCGGTGTATTTTTTTTAATTAATTAACAACTTTACACTTCATTTCTTTACAAAGCTACAGTCAGTGTATTTTGTAGAAAAATGTCATACATGAAAACACTACCTTTGCTAGACGGAACGAAAGTAATTGTTATAGACGAAGGTTGGTTAGATTCCTTTATCAATTAGTGTATATAAATATATATATATATTTATAAAATCTATGTAATAATCTTTATGTAATATTATACACCTGCATTTATATATAAAATTAATCTATATTTTTTGCAAGTCAAAAAAGTGCTGATTTTTCTGCATTTTACAGATCTAGATGTAACGTATGCAACAGCGTTGATAGCTGGATGGATACACGCGTGGAGGGAAACGAGTGCTAATCACAGTATCGATTTATTGTCATTTTCCGATCCAAAAGCTTGGTACGACAACGAACCCCTTACATCCACGAATGTAAACTTGCATGATTATTATAATGTTCATTCAACTGAAGAGGCCGAGAAGAAAGACTTGGAAAATCTTGATCACATACTTAAAACCTTTAAGCTGAAACCTCAGAATACGGTCGTTGTCAACTGTTTGGGCTCCCTGATTCTGTATGTGGGTTTAGGAAAAGCTCTGCGATTCGTAGAGAAGTTAAGTAAACAGGTGTCACAATTGATATGCATTTATCGGAGGGATTTCATACAGATTAAAGTTCCCGCGATTGAGACTCTCGGCACTACTTACATTAAGTTAGAAAAATTTGCTGGAATAAGTCCCATGAATAATTTAGTTTACAATGCAAAGCTGGCCCATAGAAAATCAGGTGGTTCCATGATATGTCAAACAGAAACAATAAAGCAGGATATTGAATCTTATCGGATCAGTGCTGAAAAGGTTACAGTACCAAGCGTTCGCAAGACAGAAGCAGAACCGGTAAAGATTGAATCGTCGTTTAGGATAGAGATGAGCGCTCAGGAAATGGAGCAGAGAGACAAGACACCTTTACCCTATATTTTGAATGCATCGAATTCATCTAGGATATTTTATCAGCCAGAAGATGTAGATGATATAGATGAAGAAGACCCTGATGATGATCTGTGTATATAAGCTATAAAAATCAAAGAATTTGTATGAAGATTACATAAAATATATAAATCATATATTTTATATAAAATAAAATTTTGTTGTATGTATATTTATAAGACAAATTTTTTCAAATTCTGAAGATAAATTATTGAGAAACAAATACAAAATTACATGGATTAGGGAGAAGTAGAACAATCCTTTTTTATAAGTCATATCAGTTATATCATTAATAAAATAAAAGGGTTGAAAAATGACTAATTGAAATTAAAAGTGCAATTAAAATAACTTTGTATTTGTACTATCAATTTATGATCCCGATACATAATATCTCTTTTTCTACTGGTCTACAATTAGCATTAATCATTTTTGGAGTAATTCAAAACTGCTTATAAATAAAAATACTATTCTTGAAGTTTTCTGTTATAAATTTTAAATTTGCGAATTTTTATGGACAAAATCATAATATATGTTTTGTATACAAAATTTTTCTCTGGGAAAAAGATAATAATTTTATACAAGTACACTTTTGATATTGTCGTGTATTTATTACTTATCGGCTTACATAGTATTTTTAACAGATTTATTTAAATAAATAAAACGATAAACAAGAAAGTTCAATATAAAAAAAATCATATGAATAGAAATTACAATAGATTTAATAAATTTCGAGACATTTCATTACATAATTCTTATATAATTTGCTCGATATAATTAGCATCAATAAGACAATTTAAAGACTTTCTAGGCTGCGTTCAAAAACTTCACCTGGTGAATCTACATATCATTTTATCCTTGTCTAATATTCGGTGAATAAAAAGGATGAAATAATATACCGTCAATTCCTGAACGCAGTCTTATGTTATCTTTGGCTTTGTTATTCAATCAATCATTTTCATCATATTCGTACAATCATATTCTTGATTAAATGTCATAATAAATAATTAAGATCTGTATAAAAATAGCTTCTTTTAATATTACAACTCTTCATTTGTTGAACTGCATATTGAAATTACAGAGATCAGAAACTAAAACACAGCCTTTACTCATTTTATACAGAGTTACAGAGTTAAAAGTTAAACTGTACCTAATACTGATACTGTTCTTCAATAAAAATATATCACTACTGTGCAATGTAAATTATGGATTTTGTTAATGTAAATATTCAAAAAGATGCCATTTTTATCGATAAAAATAATTATCAAGATAATCGAATATCTTCTATATAAATTGCATCACATAAATATAACTATACAAATAAAAATTAGTCGCTCACTAATTTATTGTGTGCTTACTTTTAAAAACAATTATTTTGAACATATGCACATATAATCAAACCTCTGTACTCATAGCGCTCCTACTCTTGACCAATTCAACTTCTATAAACATTTCTCTTGCATTTTTCTTTGGTTCTTTTATTATTTGATATTACTTAACATAGAAATATAAAATATAAGTGATCAGTGAAAAACTTATGGACACTATAAACAAAAATTATGCAGTCTATTTCGTTAAGGAAATAAGCAAGAAAAAAATTTATAGATACACACCGACATGATTTCATAAATCTGCGCATTAAAATATATATAAAATTCTATATTTAAAAAACTAAAACTAAAAAAATTGCGTAGGCCAAATGGATAAGGAACGCAGAGATTCGATTACAAATTATATTTCAATTATTTTTGCTTCTGCACTCAAATATTTGAAATATAAATACGAACGGAATTATTCTCGTCTCACTCAGCGAAAAAATCCATCAAAATATTCGGAAATTAAATTATGCATTAAACGTATATAGAAGATTTTGATCGTAGAAGTGTTGTGTACCATCAACATGTTGCAGGACTCTGCTTTCCAACAAGCAACGACCATAACGCACGGCGTCCTCCCGGCTAGTCACAATGCCAACTTCGAGCAACCAGTTGACCAAATCCGTTCCCGAAAAGACTCCTCTGTACACCCTCAATAATCGCCTACGGCACATGGATATGCGTGCTCGACATGCGTCTAAATGACATCGATTAAATTGTTCTCGAATCTCTTTCACTTCTGGACTGAGAGCTTCCTCGCAAGGAAGTTGTAATTCTTTTTCTAATAAAATTCGAAAAATATTATTGAACATGCACGTATAAAATCAATAATACGTGAAATATTACATCATAAAGATACTGTACCAAATTGCCATTTTCTCCACATTTTCCGCAGCCAACATCCCAATTTACCCAAGCTAGGATCTAGTCCAAAAATAGCGAACGCTATTAACGATTGTCCAAAGTTCAAAGTCACATCTAAGAATGCAAGCTCGGCATAAATGCCAGTTAACTGTTCCATTATTAATGTACCCACGGATATCGATAAGCCCTATAATATATATAAATTAGTTTTACAATCTTGATAATGTCCAAGTAAAGAAAGTAATAATTTACGTACAATAAACATGGAGCATAACAGGAGAATCAGAAAAACAAGATGTCGCAAAATCTGAGGATCGTCATTTAAGTTTGTTTCATTTTCTTCCTCACAGTTATCTCTATTTTCGCCACCTCTGCACGCTCCATTTGGACAACCATTTTGAAATTCGCAGCCAAATCTAGAAGTTTTTATATCAACATTATAATTTATAAATATATAAATAATTTATAATTTATTTACATAATTTTATTTTGAGTTAACTTACATAGGTGTTGCATTCGTTAATGGAGATACCAAGTCTTCCACATCTACTATGCTTCTTTCATTATTTTCAATTGTAGGATTTTCTGCATTGTTCCTTAAATGTTCGTATGACATTGTACTGTGCCTTCTTTGATATCTCTGTTGTAAAACCAAACAACCTAATGTCACTGTGTACAGAAAAAGAAGTATAAAATTTATATATACATATTATAAAGATTTAAATATTTTCACAATGACATAATGTAAAACTAATAATTGGAAAAATGTTTTTATATTAAAAATATAAAATAATACTTCTTATATAGCATACCTATAAAGCAGAATATTAATACGAATGAAGATACAGCGGCTTGAGTCCTGCCTAATTGAAAATTCGGATTTTTAAAATCAAGATCAGACGGATTTAGTCTAACAGTGATGCATGTTAATATTACCATCAAAAGTGGTACTCTGTAAATAAATATATAACAGATTTTAAGTATAGTAAGATATATTTTTTTAAATTTAAAATAAGCTGATATGTTCGTACCCCCATCCAAGTGGATAAAACCATTTCTGTAGATTTTTAACAAAAGACAACGAGCGTGAACTCAGAAATAGTAATGTCGCTGCAATTGCAGCTGTCCATATCCTGCTGGCATATACGCCAGTAGTTATTAAAATAAATTGGACGTACCTGTAATTAATAACAATAATTAATAACAAAATTTTGTTTGCTAAAAGTTATTGAATAATTACTTAAAGTTTTATGATTACCATAATGTTGTCTGATTATTATTTGGATCAAGTTTTGACCATATTATCACACCTATTGCTATTGCAAGCTGAAAATGGATAGAAGATATTTCGTATAAAACTGTATAATATGTAGATGTACTTAAAACTGAACTGAATATGCGAAAAATATGTTTATAACTTGTCTATATATACCTGTGCAATCACAAGGCACAGAGTGCATCGGTGAGTGACTTGGTTGTATCTTTTCCGTCCGAATCCAAGGAAACATATCAACAACCATATACAAGCCGCTGCTGACGCAACGCTTATGTCGAAGGAAAAGATATTAAGTTGCCGTGTATAACTGGCTGGCGTAACTCCAGCGGAAACCGCATTGATCACTTTAGCCGATACAAACATAAGTGGAGCGGAGAGAAACGTACAGGCTACCATAGCTGACGCAATTAAGTCGATCTCGAGATTGTATCGTAATGTGAAAATAAACAGAGCCGGTGCTGTCGGGATGGTGCCGTACAGAAATCCGTACGTGCTTAAATCTCTCGTTTCCGTGACGTTATCGCCGGCGTTCAGGAGAATAATGGACTCCCTTATGACTAGAGGCAAGACTAGCAGTTTCACCGAGATCAGTATACCCGGTATAACCAGCGCTGTACCCTTCAATTTGTGTATCTTCCCTACCATCATTAAGCCGAGAAGGAACAACGCGCTAGCGGAGAAAGCATTGCCGAGCACCTCGAGAATCGAGGCGAGCAGACGCGGCACGCTGTGACTAAAGATAAAATTTCCTACAATGCCCAGGACCGTCATAAAGAGCACGGGATTCAGCACGACACCCTTGGCGATGGAGTAAACCATGTCCTTGCAATTTGTGTGCTCCTCGACACGTCGCTTGCCAATCTCCAGCAGTACAAAACCAATTGGATTCAAAATCGCCAGTGATATGGGTGCCATCAGATACAGATACGCGGCATACTCTGGATGAGTTTTTCCATAGAGAGCATAAACTGGAAGTAGGATATTAAATGTAGAGCAATATTAGATAATACGCAATATTGTGCAATATTGTGTTGCAAGAACATAATTCTTACTCATCGGATATCCAATAGCAAAATCATTGCTTTGAGTGGTGAATATCGCAAAGAGCGCGGCACGTCCAGGATGCGATGGCTTTTTAATTACTAACGAAACCGCAAGCACAGTGATAAAGACGCAGCTCTTGGCAAGCAATACGGTAAGAAGGAATTTCCAATTAACCAGCGAAAAGTCGAGCTTCGCCAGAGACATAAAGATTAAAGACGGCAAAGCAAAGGTGCCGACAAAAGTGTTCAGGCCATTTGCCTCCGTCTTTGTTATCACACCAAATCTTCCTGCTATATACCTGTAATGCACAAACATTTATCATGAAGTAAAAAATATTTATTTAATAAAATTTATTTAATTAAATTTTCATTATACATATAAAGAAGATATAAAAATAATTTTGCACTATTTTAGAGAATCGAGTGTATATTCAAACTCTTAGTAAAGTTTATCAGACAGTTAAGCAATTTCATGCACAATCAGCATAAGTGCATCCTTACCCGCATAGTAGAATACCAAAGCATTGTATCAGTGCAAGATACAAGTTATCAGTCGGCTCGTCCCCTGTCCCTGCATATTGATTTGTGCTTAACGACAAAGATGTCGATACACTTCCGTCGTTAATCTAAATTGGGAAAAAAAAATATAAGATATATAATTATGCCTTACATATTAACTTAAAAGGCAACATAAACAGTTGTATCTGTAATTTGATATGCAAGCAATAAACATTTGTAATTTGTATACCATTTTTTCCGCTATATCAAAGGTATTCATCATCTCTTTAATATGTCATTGGTTTTATAAAATTGATCCCCTTGTGTAACAAGCTCGTATGACATTGTCCTCATATCTCCATCAATGTCAAATAAGAATATGAATGTTTCAAAATTATAAAACAACCTGCAGTCCTGCAAGCACAAGTACGTGTTTCTAATTAGTTCCTTGCGTAATTTTAAAATCCTTTCACATTCGTCCGATTTACATTTTAATAGATTTATCAGCAACACAGACTTGTACTACAGCAAGAGGCGAGAAAGATTAAAGAATCACGGAATGATATATGTACTTTTCGATATGCACACATAAACACATATACACACATATACAAGAGCGCAGAGTATGCAATTTGTGTCAGGCCGGAAAATACTCCGACAAAAAAAGAGGCGATAGATTATCAACGTCCTCCTCTCTCCCGATAGTCGCCGGTCCAAGTCCTCGTCAATTCGAACATATGTACAAAATCATGAATCGACACTCAATCGTCGCACAATTGTTTACCTAATAAAATATCACTGCATACGAGAAATTTCGATTTAATCGGGATGCACGTTTTCCGTGGTGAGTATGCGGGAAATTCCGTCGTACCGTGCAAGCTATCTAGATTTTAACGACGAGAAGTGAACAGATCGTTATCAAGCCGCTATACGCGGAAACAAAGTCCAACGTAGGCCATTCGCGATGGGCGCGTAGTCACGTCACGCACAACCAGGTGATTTTCGCGCAGTCGCGAAACTCGACGGCCGCGACAAAGGCGCCAAATGCCCGGCAACTGCCCGCGCGCGCGGTCACGTGACTCGTGTCAAACACTTGCGCGCTCAGATACGAGCTCGGCGATCAATCTTCAAAATGTCATTATTTAATTCATGTTGTCACCGCAAGCGCGAGGAAAGATACAGGCTCATCAAGCTTGTTTTTACTTTGTTTGCTTCCTCTTTCTCTTATAATTTGTGCATTTTTACATAATTATAAACATAAAGTTTCGGTATATACAGGGTGCGGAGATTAAATAATGTAAAAAGTATATTTTAAAGGATAATTTCTCACACAAATTCAAGACGAAAATTCGAACGAAAATTTTATATAACTACATGTCCGAAACGACTTGGTTTCAAAGATAAAAGCTTTGTGTATGTTCCTTGAAAATAACCAAGTGGTTTTCGAAATTTTTGAAAAAAAAAAAAAAAAATATTTCCTTTAACTTTGACACTCTATATCTTTGAAACTAAGCCATTTCGGATATGTAGTTATATAAAATTTTCGAATTTTTGTCTTGAATTTGTGTTAGAAATTATCCTTTAAAATAAATCTTTTACATTACTTAATCTCCACCCTGTATACCGAAACTTTATGTTTATAACTATGTAAAAATGTACAAATTATAAGAGGAAGCGAACAAAGTAAAAACAAGCTTGATGAGCCTGTATCTTTCCTCGCGTTTACGGTGATAAAATGAATTAAATAATGACATTTTAAAGATTGATTTTAAAGATTGATCGCCGATCTCACATCTGAGTGCGCGAGTAAAAATTTAATTCATATAATAACCATACGTCCAAAGATAAAATATATATGTTTCAAAGATAAAAGCTTTGTGTATGTTCCATCAAAATAATCCAAGTGGTTTTTCAAATTTTTGAGAAAAAAAGCAAAATTTTTCCTTAAACTTTGGTCACTCTGTATCTTTGAAACTAAGTCGTTTCGGACATATGGTCATATGAATTAAATTTTTATCTTGAATTTGTGTGAATTATCCTTTAAAAATCTTTTACATTACTTTTACATTACTTAATATCTCTGTAGATAAAATATCAATTCAAATATCTATCATGATACCTGGAATTGTTAATATCTTAATGCGTGAATTTAAGCGCTTATCGGAGCACATATCGAAAGTACATACGTGCGATATGTACGTAAATTCAAAGGCATTAATGATTCTTTTAAATATATAAAGCAGCTATGTTATATTATATTATATGTAAAACGTTGAATGGCAAAGAAACATGTATAAGCTGTGCAAGCTTTTATTATATAAATTTTAAAAATAAAATTAAAAATGTGCTGTAAAAGTGACGGCTATGCTTTTCTCCTGAAATATCATACGTAATTAACTATCGCTCGAAATAGCCGATTTATTGTGGGCGTACGATTAAAGAAGCCCGTTAGATCTCGTTATGTGCACTTACTTCGGTCAGTTGATAAGATTTACCGTAAATTGCGCAAACCGATCGATAAAATGACACCTTGCAAATTTTCCAGAGTCTTCGAGGTCTTCGACTACGAATGCACTTAATTGCAAAATATCGATTATATCTCTGGTCAGAGGTTTATCTTTATTATATGTGGACAGAAGATTCAACGAACCTGTTCTATAGTTCTCATCGATTTCATCTTTTCGTCATATATCTACTTCATATTTTGATGATAATGTTATCAGATAACTAGAAATAAAAATCAATGCATTTCCACCACCCACTTGACTTGCTGTATCTCGTCAAGCCAGAGCAACTTTGCTCTGCGTTTTTTATACGTATATTTTTGAAAATAAGAAGATATAATAACATATACATATGCATGTTATTGCCTTCTTATTTTACGAAGTAAACACGATAATGAAAACAGTGTAAATATCTAAGCGGCGCAAAAATGATGCCTTACGTCATGTTTGAAACATCGTAAAGTCTAATACCTAATATCTATCTCATTGTCAGATTAGATTAGACGCGCTTTCAGTGACATATGTGGCATAGTTTTTTAATGCGCAATACGTCTGCGTATTTGTACACGCCTTAATCGGATTAATTATGTACAGAGTTGGCCGCGAGAACACTATTAAGCACTAGCGCGTCTTAGCTTCGTCATTATACGCTCTTGCCGTGGAAAACTTTTATTGTGGATGTTTTCCGCGGATGTAAACCGACAGTATCTTGAGTCACAAAGGCAAAAGTTTAGAAAAATCGTTATCGTTTACGCATAATCGAGTCGGCAAATATTTACGCGGATATATGCTATATCGCGATCGCACGCGTTTTTCCGCTCGACGTGGTGCAGCGAAATTGCGCCGCAGTTTTACAGTTCTACAGCGCGTTTGCGGCAAATCCTTTCTTTTTTTTTTCTTTTCTTTTTTTATGCAACTCTTTCCTTGAGCTGTATAATTTTCTCGCGAGCACCTCGCGCACGCATTCCTCCGATCACGTTGACGCGCGCTTGTTCGCGCTTACGTAAGCTAGGCTGACGTGTAGATAATTGCGATCGCGTACAAATGCCTCGGCGTGTAGGTATCCTGCTGACCGCTGAAATCGCATATATCGTCTAGAAGTTTACGTCCGGTCTTTTCAACTGCGAATACACAATTTCCTCGTTTCCCGAATGATTCGTCGGATAAATGCATTCAGTCACGTTCTATCTTGGTGAACAACGCGAGGAAAGCAAGTTGCATCCGCGAACAAGCTTATAATTATTCACATCTAATAATTACACTCTAGCAAAAATTTTTCTTAGAATTCTTAATATAATTTTTCAGAATTATTTCCATATAAATTAAAAAATTTTTACAAATATCTATATAAATTTCCAAAATTCCTGTATAATTTTATAATTTTTTAGAAAATTTCATATTTTTTTATATGAAACACTTTTCGGAAATGTTGAGAAAGTCTTCAAAAGTGCTATAACAGATTTATAGGTTTGTTAATGAATAAAAATATTTCATGAACAGCATTGTGGACGTGAACGATACTGTTCACGAAATAATAGATGTTGGCATTAACAATAGGTCAAAGTACGGAGAAAACCCATAAATCTCTTAGTACTTTTAAAGAAAATATCCATGAAAACCTTAAGAGCAAGTCTATGTCTATCTTCCAAAATTTACTGCCAGTACTGAAAATCTATAGTACACATAACATAAATTATGAATTTTCAGCGCTGACAGTAAATTTTGAAACACAGTCTATCTTGTCTAAAACTTTTTATACATATACATTTTAAAATATTTTAAAATTTCTCATTCTTTATTTCCTAGAAAAACTTATAAGATCTGAAGAAAAAGTTTGTAAGATTTTTTTTTAGAAATCTTCATAAATTTAAAATGTGACAAATTCACTAAAAATATTATGATAATATGTTATGAGAATTTTTTTCACGAGGACATACAAAGTCTTGTTTATATCAGTTGTCTTAGACCGGCATTCATAGTCCGTTCTCATTTTAAGACCGTCTTAAATAATGTCTAATTGGCTTATGACATCTTAAGACTGTATACTTGAGTTTTTAAATATAAGAACTCTGCAACTATGAATATGGGCCACAGTCAACAAAATCGATCGTTAAGGACGAATCGCGTGAGAAATGTTCCTGGCTTTTTAGGAGAAGACCAGCTTCGTTTACATGGCGTTTTCAAAATCGAAATATTCTTTTCTGCATCAATTTCTTCTTCCGAAAATATTGTATTCATTCGGAGCCTCAGTGATTCGAAACATCTTGTGCAATATATAACTATACTACCTATATATGTTATACCGATATATGATCTGGGAGTATTTTAAGGCAAAATTACCGGGCGAGATCGAACGCATAGAGAAATGCGAGAGTTTCGATTTATATCTGAAAATCATCGCGACAATTAATTAATGTACGTGCGTGTCTGTAGCGGGAATGATAAACATATCGCGCGATTTACGTCACTCTGACCGGCGTGAGTCACAATCTCGAATAAAACACGGTACAAAGAACTGCTTTATCAATCATTCGCGGTGGGTACTTCGATTAATTGTTCCTAGATAGTAAACACCAGTCGTTTCTAATCAATTTTATACTGTTATATAATTATAGTATATAATTCACTTTGTACATACGCGCGGGATCATTAATGCCTTATCGCATAAATTTAGATGAGGCATTAATTACTAAAATGTAATGCACATACATGATCGAATATATAATTCATGTGTGTACATGAATTCGCGACTGATATCTTAATTTAGCTAATCAGATGCTAATATTCAAGAGTTACTTCATATACAAAAAATGTATATATATAATTTTATTATATATAATATATATGTTGTTTTATATATTATGTATATAAAATATATGTTATGTATAATATATGTATATAATTATTATGCATTATATATGCCCTGCATATTACGTGAGATTGCAGAAGTCAACAAACGTAGTGCAATAGTAACAACAACACGCCGCGGCTAGCAAATTCAAATATCCTAACGTTAAATCCGTCGGTGACGTGGCGCACATAAATCAGCCCGCGCGCGGTACGTCGAAAAACGAAGACGCTACTCTTGCGCAATATTGCAAAAAAGACACGTTTCCGCATCGATACGAAATACGGCTAATGGGAAGCAGAAATGCGCCGTAATATTAGATACGGGAAATGAAATGTAAGATACATTCTGCGCAGTATACGCGCGCGGGGAATGCGGGCGATTGGTTCGTATCCAATTCTCAATGTGCGAGCCGCCGTTACTGCGCCGTAGGTTCTAATCGGGTCATATAATAATCACGTGGACGATATAGTCGTGTTTGATGCAGACGCGGCCTGCGTTTCTTTGTCTGATGGAGAACTGCCGGCGACGTCGCCGGGTAGTCTCATCGATCTCCAGCGAGATTGTTAATATCCGCGGAAGAGCGCGGAAAGAAGATCGCTGACATTCAGATGAAGGATTTTAGAATCCTCGATACAGTCGTGACGTCACGTCTCCGCCCTATTTGCGATCAGCGATCGCGTTGCGAGATTACGCGAAATTTTACCCTCTCGATGCGAACGCGATGTAGTAATTTTCGTTTCGAAATGTATAGCGCTTTCATTAGCAGCGGAGAAAGGTAACATTGGCGAATAATTTTATTAATAACGCGCGCCTAATAAGATTTTGGATTGACGTAACCCGTATAAGAGAGATTGCATACATCGTTGGCGAAATAAACACGACCGTATATTCATTTAGTCGCACGTATTTAAAATTTGGCAATACTACCTTATTGTGGTCGTGTATGCAACATATATATTATATTCGTGCATGTATACCGCTCGACGGCAAACGTCTCGGGCACGAAGGCAAAAGTTATTCGCGCGAAAGCTTGCGCAACGCGACGAAAATGTACGTACGTATTAGCGTAAATGCTCGATAAACGCGACGTTATCGTTTTGGCAGTTTCCACGAAGAGACCGCCCACAAAAATTTTCCCCGGTACGGACGACCGACGGACGTCGTTGCTGATCAAAGCCGCGTAATCGCGCGGTATTCAAGGCCGTTCGAAATAGCCGCTGGGAAACGACGACGACGACGACGACGACGACGACGACGACGACGACGACGACGACGACGCGGGCGGACCGCGTTTCAAAGTCGAGCGAGGGAGTCTCCCGCGGAGCGGTTTTTCTCCCGCCCGGGAGATCGATTGGAAATAACGAATCGATGACGAAAGACTTTCTCCCCCGTGAAATTACGGCGAGATCCCTCGAGCTTTCGTTCGACCTCGTGCGCGCGTATAGAGCCGGCACTGCTCGCAATCAGCGCGGGCATATTTTACGTCGCTTCACCGCGCCCGCGATCGACGCAACGTACTCGACTCCCCCGTACGTTCCGTATAGAAACGGCGGCCGTTACCGTTGATCCCGTGACGTCAGGGAAGGCATCAGCGTTGAAACGTTCACCGCGGCGCACATTCTGCACGCGACGCGAAACAGCTGATGGAGAATTTCGGGAGGCCGCGACTCGTTCATCGACCAGTCGCGTCCGAGCGTGACCTCGACCGCGGCCGTAGGTTCTAATCCTTTCAAGAAGCGGCCGTCAGAGACAACGAGAGTACCTCCCACGAAGCGCGCGCGTGCTTGTCCGTTCGCACGAATACGCGCGTGTACGCGACCTACACGTGCATTATGCGTGTGGGCGGTGGACCCGAATGACGAACGCACGCACACATCTCGATCGAATACGCCCACGTCTCTCCGAGTAAACGACCTTTAATCCAGGAAAATCCATCGTCGTCCTTAATCATCGCCTAAGCAACGTGTCACACGTACAAACACCATGACGAACCACTTAAATTATTCATAAGAATCTCGTTTCATAAGAGTGTGACAATTATTTTTTATTAATATATAAAGTTAGATTATATAAGTATCTTTCTTCCCTCCTCCTCTCTCTTTTCCTATCTCTTTCTCGGGAACAAAAACTGTTTAATTTAATTATCAAGTGACACACTTCTCAATCGTGACTTTTGTCACCTGAGCTATGACGAAATTGTTGACGATCGATCGATGATCTCTGCACAGAATGCCGAAAAGGTGACAATTGTTTTCTGTTTTTGTGCAGGCCAAACAAAAAAAGAAAACAATATCTGTATAAGTTTTCAAGGATATACATATATTTGTGTATTTTGGAGAATAAAGCCCGTACTCAGAACGGATTATGTAAAACGATTATACGAGGAAACAGCGATTTCACGAAACAGCTGATCCGTTGACAACTCCATGAAACAGCTGATCTGTCGATAATCTCACGTTCGATAGACTGACAAGTGGCGACGATCCACGTTCGATATACCTGTATATCGATGAAGTCAAAAGATCAGCGATCGATTACGCAATTAATAGAAAAATAATTCCTGGATTTAATAATTTTGATATAATTTTTGATATAATTTTTTTTAAATCCAAACATATACAATATGGAATTCGAATTCAAATGAAATTGAAATTATATGCCTGCTGATATTTCCTAAATGATGTCTAATTAGAAAATTTTCTTTCTTTTTTTTTCTTTCTTTCTCTTCTAAACTTCGCCTTTTCTCGGAACGCCTTTCGATAGTATTCTTCGAATAACTTGCAAATGAAAACGAGATGCGGGCGAAATTGGTTACGCGAAAAGTAAAATGGAAACGAGCGAGCAAGAGAAACGGAAGGCCTTGGGCATACGTTATCGGCGCGAGATAATTGCATCCTTTTGCAATGTTGTGCATTAGAGTACTTGGAAGAATATGCAAGAATGACGGTATATCGCGATCACGTGGAGAAACGCGCACAAGTACGTCGAGCGGGGGGCGAGGGGCGAGGAGCGAGGAGGGGTGAGCCAACCGAAAGAGTGGTTGGCGGTGGAACGGAAAGGGGCTGCGGCGGGGAGGGAGGCGCGATGAACCACGCGCGTATATAACCTTACGCTCGCGTCCCACCTCCCAGTTCTACTTGGAGTTCGGATACGTGAGTTTCCGAACAGAGCTCGCGCGAGGGGAAAGTTTTTATTTGTTTGGTGCGCTCGTTGTATGGGTAAGTGCGAAGCGTTAACTCGAGTCGGAAAACGGGACAGACATCTCGCGCTCGAGCATTATCGAGATCTTACCGCTCTGTCGTTTTTTTTTCCTTTTTCTTCTTTTTTTCCCCTTTGTTTTCGAGATCTCGCGATCGTGGGAAGAGAACGCCACGAAAACTCACCTTTCCCCTCCCTCGCGACGAAACCATCTGCGAGGGAATTCTTTACACAATACACACGCCCTTTTCCCCCGGAGTCATTGTGCCTCCCCCTTGTGGAGTCATCGATGACTCTCGCTCGTATCCGCCGCGCGCGTGGATAACTACGGCGAATAACGGCGCGAACGGAGGTCGCCCGTGTAGCAGCGAGTGTGTGTGTATGTGAAAGAGAGAGAGAGAGAGAGAATGAAAGAACGAATTGTCCTCGAGGCGAATCTCCCCCGATTGAAAGGGTTTCCGCCGCAGGGGGAGAATTCCGCCCGAGTTCCGATGATGTTCCCCGGGTTCCCCCTCGCATTTCCGTCGCTGCTAGCCTTCGGCGATGACCGATAAATCTTGACGGCCGTCCCCCTCGTTTTCCTCGCGTGAATCGAAATACCTAGGGTAGAGTTTTTCCGCGACGGAAAAATCTCGCGGACGTAACGGGCGCTCGCCTTTCTACCTCTCTCTCTCTCCTACGTTCGAGAGATCTGCGCGGCACGAGCGGATCTCTCCCGCGGATCCCCTGTCACAGCGAAGGTCGGCCACGAGCAGACACGTGGCACGCGCTACGTACTTATCTATTTGGTCGTGTATTGATTCGCCACGCGCGTCCTCTGACAAGACCGTGCAACACCGCCATGTTGGAGACCGAGCCGATGACAAATCTGATCCGCTTCTCCGGACTCATGTCGCAGATCTTGTCCTACGGCACCGTGCTGATCCGTGTGCTCAAATAGCAGTGGACTTGCGGTAATCGCGGGCGTCCGCGCGAGGCGTTTTCCCGCGTGTGTCAGCCGCGGGGGAGGAGCAACGTCGTCGCCGTCACGTCGTAGCGTTGCGTCGTATAGCGTTTGCGTCGCAATTGGAGTCCGTCGTGTCCGAGGAGTATTGCGTCTTAAACGAATTGCTCCTACAATTCAGAAAGATAGCTTCGTCATCTTCGAAAGCGCCTCGTTATTTTTCCTACTTTCTGTTCTTTTTTTTTCCAATACAAAGATCGTTCCATTTCACTTTGAACTCGGAAAGCGTATATAGAGATTCAATTAAAACTAGTATTGTAATTAATATTGTAATTTGTTGCCGAAAAAAGTAACTCGCTCGAGAATCGCGGCGTTTGGGGAAACAATCGCGGCTCCTTTATTTTTTTTTTCCACTTCGTATGGAATAAGAAATATTTTGTATGTTTCAAATGCAGAGCGAGAGAAGAGTATAAAATACGGAGAGAGCCCTGTAGAGCCAATAAGCAGCTGCAGGGAAGAGCATGGCTTTGTGCCAACGGTTGGCCGCTGGGGCAGCGAATGGCCGAGTTGACTCGAGACGGCAGAGATATGGTGCCAGCCACAGGGGCAGGCACGCGGGCCCTGGATCAGGGGTGTTCCGCTACCCCTGCCGGTCTGGGCCCATTACGAGTCACCAGCCCTGACCGTCTCCACGGTCGAACAGTATGAGGAATTAGCAGGCAGCGTTGAACTTGAAACGCAACGCTTATTGCGTGAGCATCGCTACGATACTATTGGCAATTTCCTCAGGTGTGTATATATATATATGATACAACTTCTCGTTTTATTACTTTTGACTGTAGTAATAAATTTTGCAATGCCAATCGTACAGGTTTTATAAGGACTACACTGCAAGTGGAGAAAGTGCGCTGGATCGATTCTACCGGAAATATCAGCCACTAATAACACACAAACACCATACTTGCGTCGGTCTTGGATTTGAATTATTACATCGATTAACAGGATTGAATAAGCGATTCCCAGGAATAGCAAGTGGCCTCTACATAGTATCTTGTGAAGAGGTAAGTTTGAAATATTTTTCATGCCCTTGCTTCGAAACGGTATATGATTATACTCGCATGAACATTCGATATAGCTCTCTTGAGAAAACAATCTTTTTTTTTATCAGCCAATTTGAAGCAGTATGTTTAAGTTGCTGATGATATTTACGAGAAAAATTAACGTTCTGTTGCAGACGATTGGTGATATCGCCGGCTATGTTGGCGGTCCACCAGCGGCGGACAGCGGCGAGAAGGAGCATGTACTTGTGTGCCTGAAAATCGAGATCGGCGGACGTCGCGGCGTCATGCTGCTCGATCCCGGTTATCACGTAGCGCGCGTTATCACTGTGATGGCCGATAAGTTATACCCTCACACGGGCTGGTTCACGCAATCCGATGAGCCGACCTGTAAGAAAGAGTACAACTACTGTCTGTGCGCCAACGATCCCGATTATGTCGAGTGGCATGAGAGAAAGACTCGACCTGGTGCCTTGGAGAGGACGCAAGTCGCTCTCATTTATGTGGCAAGGCCATATTTAACTGCCATTGACGTTACAGAACGTAGAAACTTGGTTTATAACCAGAGGAGTCTCCTTGCCAGAGATACTAAGGGTCACGTCACCGCCGGCATATACTTCCCCGTTGTACTAGACATGAACAACATGCAGACCTTCACAATTTTCTACCAGACTGGTAACGGGAAGAAGCGAGTCAAGATGGCGTTCAACAAGTTCCACAGTTCGCGTAAGGTATATATATATATATATTTTATATATATATATACAGAGAGAGAGAGAGAGAGAGAGAGCTCTTGGTATCGATCTTGAGATTAGATCAGAAAAATGTCTTTTCGGGGACATCCGTGAAACTTACAATAGATAATGTTTTCATTTCAGACAAGTCCTGATACCGAGGAAATGGAGATGATAGCGGAATGTGCTCGACAACTCAATATTTCGCAGGGCATCCTGGAATACATTCTCTCTGCTCTAGCCACTATCATGAATGATTCGTCATTCGTCGCACAGCTGTTGGCTATTAACGCGAAAATTAACACCTTGGCAGAGGACAATTGAAACGAACAGAAGCCACTCCAACCGGTGGAGCGTCGACACATCACGTCTTGTTATTTCTTTTGCCCGCTTTCCTCTTACGTTCTTTCTCTTTTATTAATTCTCGTAGCTTATTCGTTCTTTCCTTTGTTTGTAGTCAAGCTTTGTTATGATGCTTGTATATCTACATACATACAACACGAGTCATGCAGTCTTGCGAACTCTTCACTTTTCAATTATCTTGAGACTTATACACGAGATGATGAGATAAATCGACTAATCCAAATAAAATACAGTTATTTAAATTAATTTAAATGATTGTACACAGAATTATATCAATACTTCTGTGTAAAAATATGGCATCATCAATTTATTATTCCGCGTATCAAAATATTAATCATCGAGCCTGAAACAGATGATTCATTCAAAAATGCATGATTCAGCTTTTATAACAAAGTGTCGCTCTTTTACGATGAGACTTTGAAGATGTTTTCGACAATTCTAATATTATTTTGCGTATGCAATTCAATGAAAACATTAACAGATGCGATCAAATAGCTTTTAAAATACATATGATTTTAAGTTTGACGATCTTATATATTTTTTTCTTTTCTTTCGCTGCGTTACAGTTCACGGTAAACTCAGAGTCACTCTCTTCGCTCTCAAAAACTGCCGTTCGGAATCTGCTTTAAAACTGTAGGTCCCATATGTCTGTGATGCGCACGCTAATTGTACACAGGCATGTGGAACTTAGTTTTAAAGCCAATTCCGAACGAGTTTTTGAGAGTGGTTTTTGTGGCAAAGGATACCCTCGGTGGGCACACCTTCGAAGACGATCTTATATATATTTGCTTCAATTCGCTTCTTTATCTAGAACGCAAAGTGCGAAGCTGATAATCGTTTTATTTTCATAACTAAAAGAGTTTCTAAACATTATTTTGCTTTCTTTTATTTTAGTCTTGGATATGTAAGCTTTTGGGTTCTATGGTAATATAATAGATCGGTGTGATAATATTTTCATTGAAAGATATTGATACTAACGCAGTTAATAGATTACTATTTATGTAGAAAGACTGCACTAAAATTATATTGGTACAAGGGATACTTTTTTGTTTTGTCGCGTGCGCGCGCCCGCGCTGTATGCCGTTTCTTCTTTAGAATACCGTAATATGTATATCTTTCAATTGTGTGTAAACACTAAATTTGACTTCATTTAAATACAATTATTTGACAAGTATTGATCTGGTATTGATAGTACCTTACCTCTCTTACGCTTTAAAGTTATGAACATTTTTTCGTCGATACGCGGGTTTAGAAAGAAAATTGTGATTTAAAACATCTAAAATACATTTTAAACAAGAAATTTATTTATATTCCCTTTACACTTTGAATATATTTAATTGTACAATAATGAAACTAACTGAAACTGATCAACTATTAATGGATGTGACATCTTCGATTATACAGTAATAAATATATTTTAAAAGACGGAATATATATATAAAAATAATATGAAAAATTGCTGTTGCCTTTAATTAATGGCAAAGGTCTGAGCTATATTTTAGAAGTTTATATTTATTTCCTTTATGTTCTCGACGTATAACTGAGATTCTACACATCTATTTAAATAAATATTCGTATACAAAAGAAAAGAAAAAACGTTGAGTTTCGCTGAGCACTTGGTTTACATAGGTATATCAAGATAATACTTCTTGCAAGTGCATGAAACAACAATTTTTAGGAAAAATAATTGAACAATTTTTCTTAGAATAACGGTTATGAAAAAAATAATAATTTTCTAATCTGTTTAAAGTAAGCCTCGTTATGTGAGGTTTCGTAATAAGGATAGAGTAAAGTAATAGGGATAGAGAGTAAAGTACGTTTATGGATAGTAGTTTAGAGATATTCTAGTTGTTACTAGCGGGAACAGCGTGACGCTTATTACTAACTTGTCTATCCGGCTTATGTTCGCGTTTTCGAGATCCTGACGTAGACGTAGGTAACGTCGTTGATGTTTCGGCTCTTGAAGACGCTGCGGGTTGTGTGGACTTAAAGCTGCAAACACAAAAATCAACATGTTTTTGATATAACATAATATAATCGGGAAGAAACGAGTCCAATCCGAAGAAATTAAAGCGCATGAAGATTCCAATATAAGAAAATAACTGCTGATAAAATTGTGCGACGTTTAGATGTGAGAAAAAAAAATAAGCAAGCAAGAAGCGAATCATGCTTTTTTTGTTCTGCAATAGTGCGAAATTGCTGTAGCTTTCTTGCAAAAGAAATTGCATTTCTTGAATATAAAAAAATGTGGATGTACGGCTGTGTAAGTATATAAATTAACATATTAAAAATGGATACAAACGAATATAATAAAGATACAAATTTTGTTATTTTTTATCAACGCTATTTATCGAAAATAAAAAATATTTAGTAATAATAAATTATATTATCAAATCGTATAACTGACACTTAAGTAAAAATCTAATATAACTCTAATATACAGCTATATTTAATGTATTAATATTAACTAGTATCGATTGTGGACATCATTAAATTAGAAACATTCTGCACCTTAAGCATAAAAAAATAATAACATTTCTCTCTATTCTAATAGAATTACGTCGACTGCTCTCATTCCAATATACGCTTCTAGATAGAAATATCAGAAATATCAAAAATATTACTAATCGAAACATGTTAAACATAATGCTCGTAATTAGAAAGTACTCAAATTGGAATTAAATAAAAAGAAAAAATAGTGAAGCGCAACGTACTTACGTTGCATAAGCGTCACTGGTGTATACTATGCTTTTAACTTATTAATATTTGCGGCTGTACCTGCAATACACACACAAGACGGTAATCATTCTGTATCAATCTTAACAGACTGTATTATGAAGTACACGTTCCACATAGCATGTGGTAATTTAAATACGATTAAAATTACAGCATTTATAATAATAATAATAATAGCTGTACCGTCCACAAAGAATAAAACGCGCCATAAATAAATTTCGAAAAAAATAGTAACATTAAGCAATCATAATTTTGCACAATAAAATTTTCTTATAACAACAAATATCTCATTAAAAATTATTTTAAGTTTTAGGTAATATAGACAATAATATTTCTAAAAAATTGCCTTAAATTATTAGTGCCTTTTATAATTTACATTACATTAGCATAAAACTTGATAGCAAAAATATCACTTATTAATATGATGGTAGCAAATTATTAGAGAGCACTATTCCTTAATTTATCACTAAATATCTAATATAAGCACTGCAATGTATTTTTCTTTCTTATGAAATGTATGAAACAAATTCGATGCTGTGATAAATTTACAAAGTAAAATGAATTCATCTATACTCATTATATACATTTATTAAATAACAGAAATCTTGATTTACTTCTTTTATTTTTGTATATGAGTTTTATCTTGAATGAAGTTGATGCAGTTGACGGAAACTAAACTTACCTTGAAGAGGAAGATGTACTTTTATTTATTTTCGAAGGATTTAAAGACCTTATTGCACGTCTAGAAGAAGGTACCCATCTTCTGTTAGAATGTCGACTACAAAAGCAGAGGACAATAAAACCAATATAAATAAAAGAAAAAAGATAAATCAAATAAAAAAAGGAATAAGTAACAATATAAAGAACGAAGTAACAAGAGTGAAATAATGCTATCTGAAAAGAATATTTCATAAATCTAAATCATAATTTTCACATACTAGCAATAATCAAATAAATGTTTTACTTGCAATGATAAAAAAGAATTATATATAAATAAAAATTATATATAAATAAATAAAATAAAAAATCGGCCCCCACCGCGCGGTTCTTCCGGCCAACCGACAGTCAGCACAACTCTGACGGCTGGATAGGATTCTGTGGGCCAATCACCCGCAAGTCCGAAAAAGCAATTAATTCGAGCAACGATTCGAGAACCGAATACAATAAGCCTCGAATATCGGACGAAAAAGCTGGGCAGAAATAAAAACGTTTGCCCCTAACAGAATAAGATGAAGGAGGTTTGTAGACGTCCTATGATCCACACAAGGAAATTAAAGGATTATAGATAGATAGAAGGAATTCGGACTTGCGGGTGATTGGCCCACAGAATCCTATCCAGCCGTCAGAGTTGTGCTGACTGTCGGTTGGCCGGAAGAACCGCGCGGTGGGGGCCGATTTTTTATTTTATTTATTTTTATTTATTTACTTGAGTTCTAGGTGGTTTTGAACTCGGGTCTCCTACACGGAGAGCAGGCACACTACAAAGTGTGCCACGGCCCCCACGAACTAAATTTACCATAATTTCATTCTTCTTTATCAGATTTAATTTATACAAATTTAAAAAATTTTACCACATAAAATGTGATAGAGAATGCGTACATAAAAGAGACGAAAAGTGTGAAAGTAGATGTTGTGATATATAAAATCATACATGCTTTTATAATAATCTATATTAATAAGCAGACATGCATATATTTATTTGCAAAACTGCATACAGAAAGAATGAAGATGTATATCAAATGAGGATGTAACACGCATATAAAAGAGCCACACATGATGAAATCTTGTATTTCCAGTTATTATTTTCTGGTCTATCTTCAGTTCATATATCTGCTATGCAAATATAAAATTTGTCAATGCTTTGTATACTATTATTAACATTAATAATTCGTTAATTTTATTAACAAATAAAATTGTCACAAAATTCGATATTAATTAACTTATAAAACATTGTGTTAAAATACTTCATAAGATACTCAATTAATATTTGCACTCAGATTAAATTTAATAAATATACATAATAATGATAATTAATTTATATTGAAATAATTTTTCGTTACATGTTAATTCGTTAAAATTGTGATATAACACTACACATGCCATTGTAAAAAATAAAATATTAAATGAGATGAAAGTGTGAATGTGAAGAAAGTGAGAAATATTATATTATGAAATGTATAATCAAAATATACATATATACATATATACGATACCATGCAATTTCATAATTTACCAATACAATGAAATATGAATTTTTATATTCCTACCTTGGCCAAGATTTTATTTAAGCGTATATTTTAACTATTTTCTGTTCTAAAACACTAACCTTGCTGGTACGTCTGTGGTAGATGGTAAAGCTAACTGTCTTGGTTCTGGATTAACCCTGACATTACTAGCTGGATGTGCACCCTCAATTGCACCAGCAGTACGACGGGTACGTGATTCCCATTCGCGATTGAAACTCTCTGCTTCTTCTGTAATAAATATGAAAACAAATTATATATAGAAACAAAAGAACTTCTTTCTACACTGATAATTAAATTTTGAAAGCCACACAAGAAAATTACCTTCGTCAAGATTAATAAATTCCTGTCGTTCTTCCTCATCACCATGATATAAGTTTCGTTCTCGTTCAAGAATATGTGCCCTTTCACCAATATGATGACCAATAGCCATTTTCCTGGTTCCAGTACGAGAATCGCTTACTGTCTGTTTAGTCTCTTTTATGCCACCGGGTGCCATTCTTGTAGACATAGTCTCCTGATAAACTTGTGGTCGACCATCAGGACCACTAGACATTGTCATCACCGATTGGCTCATGAATGAATGACCATTATTCGGCATGCTGTTCTGTATATTAAAAATAATTGTTAAATTATATATACATATTAAAATTAAATAAAAAATAAATAATTTAAAATTGTTAATAAAATTATTATTATTATCTATCAACAATCTCCAATTATACTTACTAAACCAAATCTTCCAAAATGAGGTTCAAATATGGAAACCGGCATATCATTATGAAGTCCTCTACGATAAGAAGGCATAAGAGCATTCGGTCCCATCATCTCGAATGGATTGGCGAACATGGAGTTCATCATGCTGTTCATCTGCCTCATATGAGCACCAGAAGGTCTATCGATCATAAATAACAAATCCAAAATTCATATAAATCTTATTTTCAAATGTTTGAATTTACATATGGTAAGTATAACAATCTACATTTTTTTAAGACATGTTTTCAGGACAAAACATAAAATAAACCATAAAAAACACAAACAATATGGCATAGATCAATTGCTAAGGAAACCTGTTTTAATATTAATAATTATATTTCAAACAGCTAAAAGATAAGTAATTACTATGTACATTAATACAAATACTAATTTAATATTATACATTTCTAGTAATTTAATTACAATAATTTAATCCTATATATATTTTTACTGAATACTTTCGATATTTGTTAATTCCATAACTAAAAAATCATTTTTTTTATAAATAATCATGATTATATAAATATAATTTTAATTTTAAATAATTGTTTAATTTAATTTATAATGCAAAATATTTGAAACTAATCAGTTTGACTAAATCTTATGTTTTCAACAAGAAATTGGCTCAACAATTTTTTTGTATAACATAAAATAAAAAAGTAAGATATATACATATAGCTTCTTTTTATTATGTATATATATATATATATATATGTATATGTATATATATATATTATATATATATAAAATTATATTTATATATATATATATATTGAAAAAAAAATATATATATATATATATCTACGCTTCTACATGTTAAGTTCGGGTGTTGCCTATTAAGACCTATCTCGATTTTACATATAAAAAATCTAAACTATGCCTCTAACGAATAAGAAAAACTTAATTTCGAAGTAACACAAGCTGTAAATGTCAGCGATGCGTCTGACAGATCCATTAAGAGCCATTGCTCTCCAAATAGGACTGCGACCTCCGGGACATGTATACACATCCGTGTGAAACCACGATGGAACTCACCCAAAGATATTGAAAATATCGTCATCGCCCATGAATCCGAACAACGACATTTTGCTTGGAATGCCCTGGGATGCTCGGAGATTCGAAAAATTCACCTATACGATCAATAGAAAGTGGATTTTCACGTCACAGACGAGAAGTACGAGAACAACCGAATGTCACGAGCGAGCTTGAGCGAGTCAGCGAGCGCCTTTTCACCCTCGTGGAAATTTCCAGAACTGATCCACGTAATGCAATGACGGAAGTACTCCATGCAAGTGGTATTGCGTATGTATATCCGAGGCAGCGTTCGCAAATACACACGTGGATCGGGAGAAGAACGAGATCCAATAGCCAATTGGTCAATTTAATATAAAATTTTCTGATTGGTGAAAAATTTCTCCTACATGACGTTGGACGGGATTGGCGATTGATGATCCACAACAGCACGACCAATCATAGAAAGAGTTCCCTAGGAACTTAGGCACGGCAATTGTTATCTCAATGAAACGAACCTTTCTTTTGAATATCAGTCACATGCAAATCCGCCATAAACAAGATTATGTAGCAAATAGAAAAGAGGTAAGATAATCCACGTCATATATTTAATTAATTTAGTCGACACTGATTGTGAGCAATTTCAACTAAATTTAATTTGATTTAATCGACGATTAATTTATCAAGTGTAATAAATTTTTTGAGATTGAAAAAACCTAATAATCATATTTTATTAATTATAGTGAATTGAGAATGGGAGCAGGGCGCTTCCACGTTGAAAATTATATGATTTTATTAAAATTGATGAACATTCGGCCCCGGAATGTTGTTTATTAATATAAATAAAATATTAATTTGTTTTTTAATTTTTAAAATCTAATAATTTTTGGAACATATTGTTTTTTAACATTAAAAGAAAAATTACATATTGAAATTTTAATCGGAGTTTGATCGAAGTCGCCCATAGATACGCGCATGATATACGCGATCAGGGAGCCGAGGGAGAATGATCAGCAAAATGGCAGATCCTTTGGAAAAATTGGTTGTCCCACGAGAAAAGAATTTCATTAAACAAAATATTCTTTGCGCAAAGCGTTCCTATCCGGCCGAGCCGAAACAACGATCCGTTGATACTCGTCACGGTGACACGTATGATTTAAAGAAAAGCGGATTAGTTCCGATTTATGTGCACAAGAAAGTACGGAGCATCACGTGTGTGGAAGAAAACTATTCCTGCTATTTGCTTAAATTTTAGCTCTTCGTGTTATTTTTCGCTATTTTAGACAATTATTAGTTTGCTTTCATCGACGCTTTTTAGACTGATTTCTATTTTGAAAAAATGGCTTTGCATTTATTTATACAAATCGTAAAGCAATTATTAGAATTCTCATACAGCACAATTAAAAGTTTGCAATAACATTGCTACAATGTTACTGCAATATTATCGGAACGTTGTAACATTGCTGCAATATTGCTGAATATTCCGCGTGCTACATACTAATTGAGTATAGTTATGACAAGCAGTATAGCTATGATTAAACGAATTAATTAAACATATATTTAGTATTAAAAGTTAATTAAACATCATTTTCAAAATTTTGATATTCTTCAGAATTATGGAAAAGCACCGAGATTTATTGCGATTGGTGCGAAAGACGATGCGAAGATAGAAACGGAGATGGATAGAGACGGAGAACGGCTTAATGGAGTTAAGATATCAAAAATATCGGCATGCCGATACATCGACAAAGAGGAGCGAAGGCAGCTGCTAGATGTAGGTATCTAATCGAGTATCGCAATGTTCCCGCTTAATTTAGACGAAAGTGACCGAGATGTATGTACATAATTGCATCCCGAAAACAGGATATGAAGCAAAAGTGGGAAGAGGAGATGAAGCGATTTCGAGGATTGCCGTTCCTCGCGGACACGCTGCCAAAGGCGCAGAAGAAGGCGAGGCTGGAGCGCGAGTTGCAGCAGCTCGAGAAAGACATAGCGACTATCGAGCAACATCCGCACATGTACGTTTATGACGACGCAACGCCCAAATCCCAAGACTGATGTATTATAACACCAACTATATCGAAACTCTATACATGCTTATATAGCGATATTTTGGCATTCAAGCTCAAGCCTGGAATTATAATTACTGTGTATAAAAACCGTAGAATATTTATGCACAATAAATGAATCGCTTTTCTTATACACTCAAATAAATAACTCAAATTTTTTACCTAACCTTTTTCGTCTTTTGTTGACAATATTTTTTCGAATCAATCGATGGAAATTTTTTTGTCGATATATAATTTTTATATACTGATGTAAAAGAAAATTCATATCTTTGATGTTCCATCTATAATATATAAGCACTAAAAATTTAGTCCTGCAGATACAATAATTATAAAATGTATTATTCAATTTAGTACAGTGATGAGATTGATGAGGTTCAATGAATCGCTGGGTCACATAGACTGGTGACTTTGCACCGACATGCTGACTTGTCAGGCACGTATCTGACCGCAGTCAGACACGTCGGTAAGTTCACCGGTCTATGTGACCCAGCGATTTATTGAACCTCAATATATTTATACTTATATTTATATAAAATATACTTTTATGGATAATGGATGCTAAACATATATGGAGCAATTGCTCAAATAATAACATCATATATCCTGCAGGTAAGCTGACATATATATATATGTATATATTTATTTGTCATTATTCTGACGTCAAAATATTAAAAATGTCATTTCGACATAAAAAAAAAAGACAAATTGATTGAAACTGCTTATATAGTTCAGCTCCTGTTCCATTTTATTCTCACTCTCATTTCGCGGGAATGATATTATCTTTCCCTGCGACAATTAACATTTTCAGCATTGGCGGGCATCGATCGCATCCTCTCCGCCGCGGACGAGACATCGACGATAGAGGCGCGACTCCGCGGCCTACGGCCAGCGGCCGAAACCGGGCCAACCGCAGCGTCCGTTCGCAACGGACGATAATAGACTAGCAAGGGAAAAACGGGCAAAACGTCGATACGATGTCGCAGCCCCCCTTTACGGCGACTGTGTTCCAGCTCCGCTGAGCCTGCCCGCACGAAAATATTGCCGTCTCCCGAGGACCTTTTGCGACAGATTCGCGAAGCTAGTTCAAAATGGTAATCGAGCGCAATGCGCGGACACGCGGGTCGGCACGATTCCCACCACGATCGCGACACCGTCCCGCATTTCCGCGTGTCAAATCGACCTGTCCCGCGAAAACGATTCTCGGAGCGATTTGTACGAGGTATATAATCACACGCACGGATATGTCCTAAAAAAAAAACCGTTTTGTCTTGCAGGGTAACGAAAGTTCGCTGCCTATGGAACTCTGTTCGAACTGTAAGTTGTCGGAAATACCTATAATGGCTTTTACTGGAAGTAATCTCGAAGTAACCTGATCTGTTTTTCGTCAGACAAACAAGATAATCCACTTAGGAGATATATATTCGTAGTCTTCAACACGAAACGCATTGCATACAATACATAACTCACATATGATATCGTTAGAGATTCGAGCGTTTTAACGTTAAAAATTTTCAAACTTGCATGGCATCCGACGGTGATATTCCATGGTAATGTAAAATGTGACTGTTTATTCTCCAGTCGACGTGGACGAGATCAGAAGATTGGGGAAAAGATTTCGGAAGCTAGACTTGGATAACAGCGGGGCGCTCAGCATCGACGAGTTCATGTCCCTGCCGGAGTTGCAGCAGAACCCGCTGGTGCAGCGCGTCATTGACATATTTGACGCGGATGGCAATGGGGAGGTGGATTTCAAAGAGTTCATCCACGGAGTGTCTCAGTTCAGCGTTAAGGTAGCCCTCCTCTTTCCGTAGAGATCATTGTGTCTATATATATATCTATAAATTTTATACACATAAATGATTATGTGCATTATGCTAACTTGCAGGGCGACAAAGAGAGCAAATTGCGATTTGCATTTAGAATTTACGACATGGATAATGACGGATACATAAGCAACGGAGAGCTTTTTCAAGTGCTAAAAATGATGGTAGGCAATAACTTGAAGGACACACAGTTGCAGCAAATTGTCGATAAAACAATACTCTTTGCCGACAAAGATGAGGATGGTAGGATTAGCTTCGAAGAATTTTGTTCTGTAAGTTATAATACGTGTTTCTGTGTGTGTCTCTTGCGTAACGTAAGCAACACAAGCTGTAAATTTTTTATTTCTTCTGTTTCAGGTTGTTGGCAATACAGATATTCATAAGAAGATGGTAGTTGACGTTTAAGTGACCAAAGTGAAAAAAGAAACTCTTTAATTTACAAAACGCGGTATGTTAATTGAAATCTATAAATTAATAATCTATTAACAACAGATTTATGGGATAGTTCTATAACAGAGATCTGTTTAGAGTGAACTTACACGATTATTGTTCTTAAGCCTTTGATCATTACAAGTCTATCCAAATGAAAAATTTTCATGGTACGCCAGACACTGAGAAAACGGTGCGGCACACCGTATGTTACATCTACGTGATATCAGTCATTTTGGTGTCGTTAAAGATATTGCGGAACACGAATCAAGTTATCGCGCGCGTTCCGTTGGAAATAAAGATCAGCTATGTGATCTTAAGTAATTAACAACCTTTTAACTGGACATCTTAAGTTTAATATGTCGCATGATTCTCTCCAGACTTTCTTGGAAAATTTGCGGCAAAGTCAGTCTTCTCAAGCGCCTGTCGAAAAAAAAAGGGAATTTTCAGATTACATATAGATGCACTTTGTTCCTTTTACTAATTCTCGATGGACAAGCACGAAAGTAAAATCAAATCTCGCATTATTGATACGATCACCATGCCATACAAAATCTATTCATATTTCCATCATTGTTCGAGAAGTAATTGTTACTAATATTATCTTTTTAAAGATTTCATTCAGCGAGCTCTTACGAGATATTTACTAATTGTAGACTAATATCTTAATATATTAATATTCAAACGTATTAATATATTAATATTTTAGAAAAGTTACGAACATTTAGATAAGCCAACTCTATTAAAAAAAAAAAATGTATTATGTTAACAATAAACGATCACGAAATTGTGCATTCGGAAGATACAGCGAGGCGGATTTTGCGAAGTTATAATAGAAGTACTAAGCTTATTGAGCTACGAGTTCTACTCTTGGTTAGAGCCTTTACGTGTGTATAGAACGTGCATGTATAAACTGTATATTGACATATACTGGATTGTCGATTTGTAATTTTTCGAATGTACGATTTATTTATTTATTTAGATATTTATTTATTACATAAAAACGATTAGTCAGAAAAAGATATAATTTATCATTGCCAGATACATTAAGATATTTATAATACAAATAAGTTTATTTTATCATTGTTAATTGTTTCTATGTATACTTACATGTTACATGGTCTTATCATATGTCTAATTAAAGTTTAAAATTGTGAAAATATATAATATTAAGATTAATCTACTATAAGTGCCACATGTTTCATTTTTCGATGCGCATGCAGAATACAGACAGTTAATTTTCAGCGATTTAAGTTTAAGAGCGCATTAATTTATGCTGTTACTATAAATAATCTGTATTCCGTGTACGTGTATACGTGTGCAGCATATTCAGTATTCTTTTTGTGCAACAAAAAAGTAATAGACCGGTTAATTTCTCTTCCATCGACATTTCTATTTTGTTCCTTTTTTATGGTTTATTTCAGAGTTTAATGAGTTAAATTAATGGAAATCGATGTCGAGAACATTGCGAACATTGGCTACAGCGTGCTACAGCGATTGCGTGACCGAATGGTCAGTGTTTTCATGTTGAACGAAGTTGGGAGTAGGATCACTGGACCGCAAACCAATTGGACAAATTCAGCTAAATACACGATGCGTAAATTCTTTTTGCGTTTTAGAGGCAACTAATATTAAAATGGCACATCCAGATAAGTCTACATTATTGTTAATATACGCAAAAGAAATAAACGTTTACATAAAAAATTCTTGCCTCGTATTACGTGGTTCGATTTATTTTCTGCGATTATACATGTCCGTATGGATAAACCTTAATGTCGATTTTTTTTGAAATAATAGAAACTTTTTTCTCAAATTCTTTTCCTAAAAAAAAAATGCTACATTTGTTAAATAACATACCGGAATTTATATTAAATAATACCGGAAAGAACAACCTAACCTTCAAGACTCGCGCTCGGAGGGGTTCGCGAGGCGCATTGGTTGGCAGCCCTGCCGTTTCTCCCTCCTCGATTGGTAGACCTGCCGTTTCTCCCTCCTCTTCGCCGCGCTCTCATTGTTGCTGTTTTGTGGCCGGTGTGTGTTTGCTAGTTTACATTTTTGGTTGTTTCCCTCGCGCGGAGTGTTCTCTCCTTGAGATTTTTCGGATTTTTACGCGGCGCATCTCGTTGACAGACAATCGGGATAATTGAGAGAAAACGCAGAAGACACGTCGGTGGTGGTTGTCGGCGGCGGCGGCGAAGATGGAAAATCTGGAGGAAGTGTTGCAGGCGCTCGACGAGTTCCAGAAGATGCGACCGTCGGTGATCCCGCAGGAGCTGGAGGACTACCTGTGCTGGGTCGCCAAGACCGGCGATCCCGTGTACCAGTGGCCGCTGATCAAGACCCTCGTGCGGGAGAAGCTCACCCGCGTGATGACGGACTTCTACGAGAGTTGCCCCACGCTGGAGCTCGCGCCCTGTCCCAACGTCGAGCACTTTAATTACGACACCATGAAGAGCAACCTGCTCGAGAGGCTGGAGTCGTTCGCGAACGCGCCGTTCACCGTCCAGCGGATATGCGAGCTGCTGACGGCGCCGCGCAAGGAGTACAATCGCGTGGACAAGTTCATGCGCGCCATCGAGAAGAACATCCTGGTGGTGTCGACGCGCGAGCCCGGACCCATAACCAGACGCGGCGAGACCGGCGACGGTATGGTCAACGGGTCCGTCGAGGAGGACGCAGCCTCCGTTACGCAGCAGCAACCGCCACCGCCGTCGCCGTCGTCGCAGCCGTCGTCGCAGCCTTCCTCGCAGCCGTCGCAAACGACGCAGCCACCGGCGCAGCCGACCTCGCAGGACGTTGAGATGGACTGGGAGAACGACTGCAGCTCCACCGTCACAATTAGCGTACACACCGTCGAGAACGAGCCGCCGCTCTTGCACGGCGGCGTCATACCGACCGCTGACTCCGCGCTGGCCAAGAATCTGTTTGCGGACGAGACAGTGCGGGAGAAGCTCGAACAGGCTGCCTCCAGAACGGATATCGCGGCGTCCAATTACATCACCGCTGTTTCAGATTTTTCCACCATATCGAATTTGAATTTGCAGCCGCACGGACCGGTGCCAGAGGCCATAGCGACCGCCGTCCCGGTGGTGCAGACCCTACCGGCGGTCGGAACTGTCTCCGACGACTCGATGGTCCCGGGCGCCGATATAGCGGTGGCGATCATGAACGAGGACACCAATTCTCAACCCAATTTGGACATGGAGAACGAGGGGATTGACACTGCGGCGACAGCGAATACCACGACGTCCACGGCGACGACCACGACGACGGCTGCTGCTGCTGCTGTTGCTACAGCGACAACGACGACAACGACAGCATCATCGACGACATCGGCAGCGGCGGCGGCGACGACGACGGTGACTGTAGTAGCGACGGTGATACCATTGACGACGGACACTACGCGGAAGCTGCAAGCCGCCTTCCAGGCGAAACGCTTCGAATCCGACGATAACAAGTGCGTGGACAAGCCCAACGAAAAGGCGACGGATCCGTTGGGCAGCGCGGAGGAGGAAATTGGGCAGCCCATGAAAAACGAAGACACGACCCTGACCAGATCGAGTCCCGAGTGTATAGACCCTAACGAGATGTCTCGCGATGAAAGTAGATTAACTGAGAACCTGTTGCAGACGGACATCGAGATGAGATCCGACGCGGAGGACCATGGTGGAGGTATTGCCGAGGAAAGAGCTCCCGATAAACCGGAGGACGAGGGGGCGTCGATCCTCGAGGACATAGACGAGGAAAACCTACGTTCCGCGAGCGGCCAGAGCGCGAATGCGACGGCATTCGTCGAGTCGCAGTCCGTGGAAAAAGAGAGCACGGTTATAGCCGACGAATGCGTGAGCGCAGTCATCGTGTCCAGCAGCGAAGCGTTATACAAAATGGAAAAATCCGAGGCGCTACACTCTAAGGAGGCGTCGCCCGCGGCGGTTTCTTCCACAGATTGTTTCGCACGCGATCAACTTGTGAGTCCAAAAACGGAGAGCATGGAAGATGCGGCGGGTAGTAAAGTTTTAGAAGCCATTCCTACAGTAGCATCTTCCAACACTAACGGACAAGAAGCGCAGGAGGCGCCCGAGTTCAACGACGACAATCTGAACATTATGGAAATTTCCAACGACAAGATTGCCCTTGTCGAGTCGATGGTGTCGGATCCAATGAGCATCGTAGAGAAGTCCAAGGAGGCAGTGGCTGTAATTGAAAAACTCGATCCCGTCTCACCTGCCGCTGTCGAAACGGCGGAGGACGCCGATAATGTCAGTTGTCGATCTCCGAAGGACGATAAGTTAACGGGCGTTCAACAAGACGACAGTTTAGCAAATTCACAAGGCAATAAGGCAGCGGCATGCGTTACGATAAAAGGGAACCAATCTTCTGTAATAGAGAGTATAGCGTGTAGAAGGGAATCGATGGAGTTAACGATGGGAGTCAACGAGGAGGAGTCATTATCGACACTTCAACAGGACGAACCTATGGAGCAGGAAACAATGGAGGAGCTGTCGAAAAGTTAATCTTGACTTATCTAACTGGCATGTTTCTCCTTCCCTTTGTTTAACATTTGATATCTATTCTTAAGATAGATGTCGGAATATGAACCAACTCGTAAATATCTTTGCGCATAAACATGATGCTTGCGACGTGCTTGTGAGATATCTATATATTTATATATACATATATATATATATATATATATATATATATATATATCTCCATAAATCGGCAAAATATAAAATCATGAAAATTTAAATGTGAGCAAACGTTAGGATAATGCTCAGCGAAATTCTTGACATCTTAACTTAAATATTAATTGCTGCTTTATTTATTTCGGAATTATCGTTAGACTGAATAAGCTCTGATATTTACTTACAAAGAGATCTAAATCGAAATGAATTTTCTATAACTCTTGGAGGGAAAAAGAACACTGCCTACTCCTAAAAGGATTGTAATACTGCGAAACCGCTTGTATAGAAGTCAGATTTGGTAAACATTTCAATACGGATTTATACAAATACCACGGATATATCTGCTTAGAATAAGGTTGTGCCTATAACTATTATGTACATTACATATTGGACAAGTATACCTAACAAATGAATTTTTAAATAACAATGTATGATGTACGGTACAGACTTACTATACAGTATTTCACAATTCCGGGGTGAGTGAAACGGTTTCATTTGTAATCACAGCCTTATACTAAGTTTTGATCAAATCTGGAAACTCATAATGCCAAAGGAACCAATTCCGAGAATATATTCGAGATCAATCTCACACATGCACACACACATACCATACACACCATACACAACACACACACACGTTCCTTACACAACTTTTTACAGTATATAGCATATACAACATATTTTAAGACACCAAGACAATGGTTATTTCGAGCTGTTTACTAAAGCTGCTAAAAACTAACTCGAGATCGATTGTTTCGAATGTATTGTTTATAATTAGTATTTTATTTCACGATTTCTGTTATCATTAGTAGGCGAATTTCTTTTTTTTTACACGTATTTGGTATATATGAAATAAAAAGAGAAAAAGACTCTCTAGTAGAGCAAGCTATGTTCTGTGAGCTTACGGCCAGCTCTTTGTGATCAGACACTAGCATTCTGGTTCCTTCCGTTTCCTATGTTCTTGGCAAATACAGAATGTGGTTCAAAGTCAAGCTATATATATATATATATATAATTACAATAAATCTGAACGAAAACCTTAAAGCGGCCCATTGAAAAACCGATAAATTGACGCTATTAAAATTCACAAATTAGGTCCCGTTAGCATTATATCGAATCGCTTACAGTTCTATGTAATTGCACAAAATGTTCTCGAGCGGATTCGATACGGTTCTACTGAAAACGGTTATTAGAATATTGTAGGAATGGGATATTAATTTAAGAATTAATATAGATTAATAACACATAATATACGAATGTGGATATCTAAAAAAATAGCTGTATATTATTTTATAAAAAAATATATAAAATATGAGATTGTCAATTCTCTATCTTTTATTCGTAGTGTGTATGTACCTGATTACCTTATTAAAAAAATATTTAAAAGGAAATGGGAAAATAACAGGTATGAGAGCGATCGGAGGGTGTTGTATCGCCGTCACAATGTATAATAATTATACCTCGCCGTCTACGCAAAACTATTTTCGCGAATGATATGTCACGTGTCTTTCTATAACATTCAACAATAAAGCTATAACATACGGCACACTAGATATAATATTGCACTCTTCTGTTGTTTTTTTATTCCAATCAGATATCGATATATTCCCGCAAAGAAATACGCCAATATTGTATGGATTTTTTAATTTAGAATATTTAAAAGTTAATAAATTATACACATATGTAGTATATACATATAATACATTGATAGACCATAAACAGAGTGTTATAACGTATTCAGCTGTTCAGCGATTTCTGTACATTTATGCGAACGTTTGATGTTTCACCAATTTTTTGAAAAGGCCGTGCTCAAGATTCATTAGCTCGGTGTAAGTGCCGGTTTCCGCCACTTGTCCTCCGTCGAGTACCACGATCTTATCGGCGTTCTTTATTGTACTAAGCCTGTGGGCGATCGTTATCACCGTCCTCCCGCGGATAGCCCGTTCCAAAGCCTCCTGAACAAAATATTCACTTTCTGCATCTAAGGCACTGGTCGCTTCGTCCAGTATTAGAATTTTTGGTTTCTAGAAAAGAAAAAGAAATAACGTATTTTATATCCCGCTAAGTTATCTTGTTAACCGCGAATGTATGTAGGTAACGTTTTTTTACCTTTATTAGTGCCCTGGCAATGGCGACTCTTTGACGTTGTCCGCCACTGAGGGCGATACCCCTCTCCCCGACTACTGTATCTAATCCGTCGGTCATTTTTTCCGCAAACTGCCACACGTGCGCCTGTCTCGCGGCTACCTCCACATCGGAATCCGTCGCAGATTCCATTCCGTACAATATGTTGTCCTTTATCGAGCCGCTGAAGAGAATTGGTTCTTGGGACACAATGCTGATCTGGGACTTCACCCACATGGGATCGAGCAGACGGAGATCGTGATTATCCAAGAGTATCGACCCTTTGGTAGGGTCGTACAGTCTCAGTAGAAGTGACGCCACGGTGGATTTACCGGAACCCGAGGAGCCGACGATAGCCGTCACGGAACATCTCTCTATGTTTAAATCGAAGCCCTTCAACACGGACATCTTTTCTCGCGTCGGATACGCGAAGAAGACGTTCCGGAACGTCACGTCGCCCGACAGTTCCTTCCCTAAAATTTGCCCGCCCTGAATGGGAATGAGCGGCTGTCGGTCGATTAACTCGAACAGACGAGCGTTCGCGCCTAGAGCCTTATTTAACTCGCTGTACGCCTTCGACAGTCCATTGAGGGATATGCCCACGTAGCCGGCGTACAGTAGAAAGGCGCTTAAGCTTCCAATCGTTATATCGCCGGTTGATACCATAAACACTCCGTTGTAAAGGACCGAGAGAGCAACAGCGTTTCCAGAGAGACCGGTCAAACCGAAGAACATTCCCCTGTACAAACTCTCCTTGTAGCACAGCTTGAGAACGTCCTGCAGCTTAGCGCTGTATCTGTCGATCTCGCGCCTCTCCTGCGCGAACGCCTTGACAGTTCTTATATTGCTGATTCTCTCCTCCGCGGTCGTGTTTACCACCGCGAAGCTGCTCTGCAGATCCTTGGAGACTCTCTTCAAGACGCGTCCCCAAATAACGGCGACAAACGCGACCGGTGGCACGATAGCTAAGCCGAGTAAAGCCAGCGACGGCGACACGTAGAACATCATGGACACTCCTGCAACGGCCATGATGGCGGAGCGCAGGCCGTCTGATACGTTGGACGTGACAGCGGAGCTAATAAGTTGCGTATCTCCTGAAATGAAGTTCAAAGATTTGAAATGAATTTAAATGGATAGGCAAATTACTTCGCTATATTAAAAGACTTCAACATGCTACATCCGTCCAAAGGGCATAAAACGTACCGCTCAGTCTCCCGACCAGCTCTCCCGTACTCTCTCTGTCAAACATCGCCGTCTCCTGCTGGAGGATAGCGGCGTACGCCTGCTTCCTGAGGGACTGCGTGATCCGGTGTCCCGCCGTCGACATTAGGTAAACTCTGCCGAAGTTGCTGACGCCGCCTATGAGAAATACTACAAACAGAGCAAGCGTTAGCCGATTGAGGTTCTCTTTCATGTCCGTCTTTTCCACGGTATTGACAACATCTATCACTTTGCCAAAGCAGAACGGGACCGCCATCGTTACGCTGGACGACACGAGCAGCAGGGCGACGGCCTTCATCAGGGTCCACTTCTCGGGTGCGGCCAGTAGGATCAGGGTCCTCAGCTCCGAGCGTCCCTTCGCCCGGATCGCGCGCACCACCGGCACGGACGCGTCGGACCGGACGGCGTTGGTCGTGTGGTGTCGCAGCCCGACGAACACGCGGCCCCTCCGCGAGAATCGGACGTGGGCCTGCCTCGTCAGGCACGAGCCGAGCAGGTACTTCTGCGACACGCCGACCCCGCAGTATCCCGGTTTTCGTAGGACACCGGGATTAGTCAGTATCTTCCAGAGAATCGTCATGTTACACGCGGTCCGATTGTCACGATGTGCGACATGCGAGAATTAGGTGAATAATGAGACAGGCGCGATCTTGCAGGGGTCGGCTTTCGAAATCCAAAGCTAACCTAAGCAACAGTGTCGAGATTTCATTGGGATATTGCGGCTGTAGGTACTTCTATAGCACGAGATTGTTCAACGATATCAAGTTCGACTTTCGATTATTTTGTCAGCTGATGGGATTGCAATAACTGTTTTTAATAGCTGTACCCCTTTCGTACGTGATGATTAAGCAAGAGAGACTCATCGTGGAATCATGTTCCGGATCACGAGATCTCTTCGAATCTTCTCTTTTACCGTCACCAGGGAACAAATTGTCAAAATTGTAAAATAAACTTCTGCATATCTTCTTTTTTTTGTAGAATTACTTGTATCTTATTATATTGCCATGCTTTCACGATTATTATTAATTTATTCAGGAAGTGTTGAATTCGAACGACGATCAAATCTGATTTGTTGACTCTAGGAACTTTTCACCATTGACATCTGTTTTGATCTTATTTTTTTATTTTTTGTAGCCAAAAAGAATACTGACTTTTTTCAACAGTTTCAACCACCTAATTTTAATTATAATGAGTTCATATTTCTATATTCCAAACTAATAAATAAAAATAGTACATTATAGGGACGACTTCAAATCAATTCTAATTAATTTAATCCGTGTTTCTTTAACATTAACACAAACATGATATATATAATAATTAATAATTATTATATAACACATAATTCTTATATTAATTTTATGTAATATATAATATAAATATATATATATATTACATTTTATAATATAAAATAATAAATTTTTTATTTTTTAATACCTTATAGTATTAAAGATTATAAGAGACAGGAAATTTTATAATAGAAATTTTGCTGTAAGTAATTTTAATTGTCAATTAAATTAATTACTAATTAATAAATTAATTGAAATATTTGGTAGAAATCTAGAATTAATTACTTACCAAATAATATATATTTATTTGTATATAACGATATATGTATCATTCTATCCCAAGTAAAACGATTGTCACAAGAAGGTCAAGATGATGTCATCTTGACTGAATTTTGACGAAAAATTTCGTGAAATCTTAATCAAAGTGACATCATCTTGATCTTTTCGTGACAATCGTGTGTTACTTTGGGATAGATTCTTAAATTGATGGCAGTTTTTGTATAGTCAATGTTTTGTAATCAAATTTACAAATATAATATGTATTTTTCAAATGTTGCACGAGACATTCAGAAGTGCTCCATTAAATAAAATATTATCATATGAGGAACGGTAATTTCGTAATAATTTTTATTTCTCGCCCTCTTTTCGCGACATTTCCTCACTTTCCAGTTCTAGTAACATGACTCGCCTCCTAATTTGTGAATGCGCCTTAAAACTCCGTTTCGCTAGTTTCTTTCTTCGCTCGATAGGCGCGAACATGTGGAAGTATCGATTATAACCTCTTTGGTATCGATTGCCGGGAACGCGACGACAGCGAGCAGCCTTCACCCTTCACGCTGCGGGCTGCGGGACGTGTTCTTTCCCTTCCGCCGATCCTCCCGTGCCGTAAACATGGCGCTTAACCTCACTGTCAAAGTGCATCCCGTGGTTTTGTTCCAAATCGTGGATGCGTACGAACGACGAAAAGCGGAATCGTTGCGCGTTATCGGCACCTTGCTAGGTGAGCACCTTGATGAGTGACAGCTCGTCCCCTACCGTCCGCATCTGGCCGAAGGCGGAGACACGTGGTGTCTCGCCGACGCGTCATTCGTCATGTCACTCATGATTTCAGGTACCGTGGAAAAGGGGATCGTCGAGGTGACCAACTGCTTCTGCGTGCCGCACAAGGAATCCGAGAGCCAGGTGGAAGCCGATCTCACGTATGGAATGGACCTGTACGACCTAAATCATCGGGTCAACGCGCAAGAGAATATCGTCGGTTGGTGGGCCACCGGCAACGAGGTTGTAACTCAGCATTTAACTTTAGCCCTCTTAATGTATGTTCCTTCTCGCGGTAGCGTGGCAACTAAACGGAACGTTTCTCAGGTCACCACACATTCGTCCGTCATCCACGAATATTACGTGCGAGAATGCAATAATCCGGTGCATTTGACGGTCGATACTACGTTGGCGAATACGACGAGAATGGCGATCAAGGCTTATGTTTGCGTCCCGTTGGGCGTACCTAATGGCAAGCAGGGTTCTATGTTCACTCCGGTTAAAGTTCAGGTTTGTTAGACTGCTAATTTAGTTGGGATATTTGCAATTTGTATCGTAGAACACAAAGAAAGTTTTTAAAATGAAATGTGGATTGCCAAAATGGATTATCATTCGTGTGTGTGGGATTAGAATTTGAACCCAGGACTCATCGACTACAAGTTTTCACACAAAGTCACGCATTATCCCAAATAATGGAAACAGAGAATACTACATAAAATGTGACTGTGTCAATAGTTAATTATTATCTAGTGCTGAAAGTCTGTCAATATTCAGCACTAGCGCTTTAATACATACTAAATATTGACACAACTTTTCAACAAGAGACAAATTATTGTCCAACATTCAGTGAAGAAAAATTAAGATAGAATGTGATTCCTGTGTCTGCTGAAAAGTTTCTAAAGTCTTATTATCTTTACATAGAGTATCTTCCTTCTTTTGATGAAAATTGATTTAAACATGAACGATTCGTTATGTAATAATAAATAAAGAACTAGAAAATCATTGTGCGTGCTAAAAGTTAAAGACAATCTATGGATGCCTTCCATTTAGCGATACAAATCAACACAAGTATCATTCTGTCTTTGCTGTCATTAAATATTGGAGAAAGACAGAACGATGCTTATGTCGACTTGTCGCTAAATGAAAAGCACCCATAGATATTGTCTTTAACTTTTAGTACACACAATGATGTCCCAGTTCTTTATTTATTTCTACATAACGAGTCATTCATGTTTAAATCAATTTTCATCATTTATACAGAAATTATAATTTATACTTTAACATCTTTAGAAAATATTCGTAAAATTGTACATAAAATGTTACAATTAATTGACAGCCGACACGAATGACCCAATCGGGTGTACCTAAGGTTTAATATTATTAAATCTTTTTATACAGATTACATGCTACGAGCCAGAAGTGGTAGGACTGCAGCTATGTTCAAAGACTCAACTGCCGTCTCACATACAAGCTTCCGGCATGAAGTCTACTGGAGGGATAGAACCCATGATGGATCTTGCGCAAGTCGCAGAGGCTTGCTCCAAGCTTTCTTTAATGTTGGAACAAGTACTGGCATACGTTGATGATGTTCTCGCGGGGAAACAATTACCAGATAATCAAGTAAGTACAGACAAGTTTGAAACATTTTTTTCTTTTTTTCTTGTAAAAACGCTTGCTATCATTTAGCCAATACACACGATTGTTCTGCCATTTCAGGTAGGCAGAGCCCTTTTGGATATGGTACATTCCGTGCCGAAAATGACGAGCGATCAATTCGACGAAATGTTTAATAGTAACGTTAAGGATCTCCTGATGGTCGTTGCGTTATCTCAGTTGATAAAAACGCAGTTGCAGCTCAACGAGAAACTTACCCTGCTTACAACTCTATGATCAAGAGCATTTGATCCTTCACGATGTATAAATACATAGTGCAGAAGAAAAATCAATGACAATAGTCCGCTCCTGATATATTTTGATTACTGTTAATACCATCAGCCATCAATTGGGATTAAAATACAGTATTTATTTTGTGAAATTGCAATTATAATGAAGTAGAAAAAGTGCATAATTAAATTATACAATATGTACAATATGCATTTTATAAATCACAACTATAATAATGTAATAAATACAATTATTTACTTGCTTTTCTATAGATTACTCTGTTAAATCCTTACGATCTTACTCGTTTACTTATTCATATTTCGTAAGAAGTTTCATCCTTCTGATTATCTATGAGATTAGACCAATCGGGGACTCGGTTTGTTTTTAAGTACACTTCTTTTGTCAGACATCGCAATGGCAAATCTGTCGTGCCAAAAATAGCACCGCCCAGCCATACTGTGTAATTCGGTTTACTAGGCGCCGTATGGAATTTGAATGATTCCACTTTTAATTTAGTTTTGTACAGATCGCTCTTGACTAAGGCCAACAATTCCGTCTTCAGACGACTCGCGAAGCCTTTCGTCATAGTTGTTCCGCCGACGAGTATTATATTTTCAGCCAACACCCGCCTCATATCCAACGGGCACTGTAAAATTGAACAATTCAACATTTAGAAACTTGTGTTTTGTTACATAAGAAACTTATATTACTTATAAATTCTATTTTACGGCAGAATTACAGTAAAAACTGGCTTTACCTTAACGATAGCGTCGAGTATCATGGTGGGCAAAGACAGATTATCGTTATCCCTTTCCCACAGCATCTCAAATGCCTTTTCTCTAATTTCTCCAGGTATTAAGATTCTTCTAACGCCTGGATACGTGACGTCGGGAGGTGGAGGCGGCGCATCTTTAGTTCCCAGCTTCGCAGATCTTTCCAGCGTGGTTACGAAACACATTCTTACTTTGATGTCTTCCACCATCCTTTCTGACAAATCTAGATTGCTTGCTGTGTCTCGAAAGTATTTTCTTAAATTCCTACAATGAGAAGAGTAGAGTTGCAAGTGTCTATTGAGTAAAAAAAAAAAAAACCCCAAAGAAGGAAAAGCGCGACTCACTCGTGTACAATCTGTCCGCCCAAGGGCAACGCTTGCCAGGCTTTAAGGACCGGTATTCCCTCGAAGATCGGAATTAGAGTCGCTTCTCGATATCCGACGTCCAACACCAAAGCTGTGTCAATGCCGAGAGTGCTGATTGTGGCCAGGTGGCTCGGCAGAAACAGTACAGAGCCGACTTCGAAGTGCCTGAACATTACTTTCGCGAGGGTGTCTCTGAACGACGCCACCGCCAGCGGGGACTCCAGAAGCAATATCCTCGCATCTTTCGGGCTTATCACAACGTACCTGCAGTGCACCACACGAGTTGCTTTAGATAGAAATTCCAGGATACATGGTAAGACAAAAATGTAAAAAAAATAAAATAAAATGCAGAAACTTGCAGTCTTACTTAAAAAATAATAGATGGAAAAAGTCCACGAGCAGTTGATACAGATCCTCGACGTCCTTGTAATCAACGATCCTGCGTATCTTCTTCGACTCCGAGCATCGCACTTCGGTTCGAATAATACCACGTGGTGACATTTCTCCCGCGTAGCCGAACCTTGTTGTCGTACAAACGTATTTAACATATAATTATATCAAACTGAAAATGAGGGCCGGGAAAATTTCGTTTCTGTGCAATACTCACTTTGTGTACGCGCTACCAATGTCAAACACCACCATTTGCTTGTCCGAGATATACCTCACGCCCTCGTATCCGCGAAGCATTTTCTTTATTTTATTTGTCCGTACGTTTCTCGTATTTTTGACTAATGTAATCGATTAATGTACAAGAGTCGTTTGACAGGTAAGCAGCTGAAAAAATCGGAGTAGAGAGATGGAGAGAATCACACGAATACGCTCGGCGGGCGTTCATTAAATCATCTGACATTCAATCTCATCAATCTGTGTTCTGAAACTCAGCCTGGATACGCCTTTCTCGCTAGATAAAGAGAAAGACAATAATACATTGTTGAAAAGTGACACGAGTAGAAAATTGGCAATTTTGTGAGATAACGAGAGGAAATCAATCAAACTTCCGGATCGATTTCCTTTAATTCATTTTTTCAAAAAAATGCCAGTTTTGACTTAATTGGTCACTTTTCTATCAACGTGGCGGTATATATTTAAAAAAAATTAAAGAATAAGGAATAAAGAAATAATAAGGGAATAAATATTTTTAATGAAGAAACAATTATTTCGAAAAGAAGCGAGGTGACGACTTTTCGGCCTTCTCATCAGTCTCGCCAAGTCGCCACATTCGCCACCTTCCCCCCCTCCCCCCAAAACTATGATCTAGAGATTGATAGGGAATTACGCTAATCACACACGCCGCGGTTCTCTGCGTAGTCCGCGCCTGCTCGCCAGTGCCCACATTCTTCGAAGTCGAGACGACTTTGGGTGAATATGGCTGACTGACAAAACATTCCAGGCATAGCAGCGATCAACGAGCATCGTGTGTCGCGTTCGCTCGAGCATGTGCACGGCGACGGCCGTGTGGAACGACGTCATCCCTGACCGAAGCTTCTCGCCGTACGAGTGACGCAACGACATCGACGTGAACGTCGTGAACGTGAGGGAGAGCGCGGAAGGTGCGCGCGGAGCTCCATTCGTCTCTGTGAGGAGAGAGAGAGAGAGAGAGAGAGAAAAAGAAGTAATAGGTGCGCTGAACGGTGCTCTCTCACACGGGCGATCGCGAGGGCGAGCGGATTGTCGCTGCACGCGGGTGACGCGGCGTAGCAAAACGATCGCGCGAGCGGATTCGCACCACGTAGCGCACCCACCGCATACGAGGACAAGATAGAGCGAAAGAGAGTGAGCAGAGCGAGAGCGCAGCGAGAGAAAGAGAGACAGAGATAGAGATAAAGACACACACACGGGAATTGATCGTTCGAGATCATGACAATTTTATCGAAGAAGAAGGCGAATGCGCCGAAGGACAGGACGCGCGAGGGAGGCGCCGGACCCGAGGTCGACGTCCATCACGGGGTAGTGCAGAACGAGCACAGTTCCGGCAGCATCGCCCTCCCGAACAGTCCTTATCAGGTGAGAGTCGGAAACCTGGTTTCCGGACTTTGCTCTGTCTCTCTGCTTAAAAGAGGAGCAGGTTCTAAAACAGAAGTTTTGCCAACTCGCTGACCTAGGTACGGGGCACCAGCGGCTTCGCCGTCGATCTGCACGGAGTCCAAAGCGATCACGGATCCCACAGCGGTTCCCTCGTGTTGACCGGCAACTCGTACGAGGTGATTACACCCCTTTTTCCTTTGTTTTTTTTTTTGGATATTGTCTCTCGGGTGTCGGGTCCGTTTTCTATACCTGAATTAGTGTACACACACTCTCTTTGCGCTTGCAGTGAAATGGTATATGTTTCACGTTTGGTAAAAGTGAAGAGAAAGAAAGTTCTGGTACGGTCCAGCGCAGGAATGGAAAACAGACCTTTTGTGTAGGGCTGCGTTCGGGAAACGCGCTGTCACAGTTACGTTCCAAAAATTTTACTCCAAGAGCCAATTTCATCGTCTTCGATTAAATTAACTGATCGATTATTCCATTAGAATTGATTAACTGCATTTGTTGTTAAGCAAAACTGAAGCTGTGTATTAATTTTGTATATAATTCCTAACAATTCGTTATCATTATATTGTTGCACAGGTATAATATATAGGAAAAAATTGCACAACATAATTATAATGATAATAAACTCGTTAAAAATTATTTACAAAAGTTATGTAAAAGTCCGCTATTCTATATCTCTTAACGACACAATTGGTAATTGTTGTTGAACAGATATATGGTAAAAAAGGATGAACAACAACATAACAATCGTTAAGAAGTACAGAATACTGATTCAAAATTGATCAATCACGATTGATCTTAATCAGTCAGTAAGTTAATCAGAAGTAGTGAAATTGACTCTAAGAGAGTTAACTCTTTAGGGATTGGCCAGTTTTCATAGTCGGTTATTTTAAGACCATCTTAATAAGAATCGGCGATAAATACAGGCTTGTGTGAGTTAATTTTCCTAAGCCCATTTTTACAATGCAGGACTGTAATCTCGGTTTAATTTATCTTTTTCTAATTCTTAGAACTAGAGTAAAAGTTTTGGAGCGCAGCCCAGTGCTATTGCATCATTCTATCTTTGTTTTACGTCTAATGAATGATAAAGATAGAATGACACAATAGTGCTTTCCGATCGCAGTTTAGATCATCTTGTGCATCGGCAGCGAATGTAAACATCAACTGTTGAATAACGTTGGTGGGATGAACGAATAGCAACCACCAGAGAAAGAATTAACGTTGCATGAACGATATAATATTTACTTGGATGAAAAAAAGCTAGGAGCTATATAAATATACATATGATGCATGCTGTAACACAGTCAATAATAGCTAACCCATGATATTTTTATTACAGATAAACGTTGACCGCCGCGACGACAAACATTTTGAAGATGGGAGTGGCCCGAGTCATGGTAAACGTCACAGACAGAGAGTCAGTCCACACAGGTATTTGAAAAATGGCGCAAAGGGCAAAAAAAATGGATGTTATAAAATCCACTTGTCATTATGTAATTTACGTAAGATAGGCTATACAAAAGGAAATTTTGCACGCTTTTACAGTGTAGGTTTATGCTTGTATTTAATAAGGGATCTACTAATCTTTTAATAGCTGTATTGGTAGACCTTCGCGCGCAAAGCGCGAACGAGAGAGGGATAGAGGCAGGGAAAGGGAGAGAGAAAGAGAGCGCGAGAGGCAGGCTACTCCACCTGCTGCTTCTTGCAACGGGCCGCAAGGTAACGAAAGTCTTTTTTCAACCCGCGTAGCGAGTCACCAGCCACCAAAATGTAACCCCACGCGCGTTTGTAAATGCGGAAACGTGAGATAATGAGTCTCGATTTATTTAGGCACGGATTCTAGCGTAAGTGGAAGAGTGAGCATCGGCGGGAATGCCTCGAATGAGGAGCACGAGCTGGCGAACGGCTACAACAGCGGAGATGAATATACAGGCCGTACTGAGAATAATTACACGTTAGCCGAATGGCAGGAGGTGAGTATCGCTAGCAATAAATCCAATGTTTCGTGTAAAATACAATGCGTTATCTAACGCTAATTACATTCCATGTCTGTGACAATCTAGAAGGACAGGTGGTTTGAGAAACGTCTCAAGAAAAAGGGGCTTATGCTGAAGAAAATGGCGGAGGACGGAGCTTGTTTATTTAGGGCGGTGGCAGATCAGGTTTACGGCGATCAGGAGATGCATGGAATCGTACGGAAACACTGCATGGATTATATTGTAAGTGTGTAGTACCAGATGGGATAACGTTGCGCTATATTTCAGTGCAATCTGACGAAAATTACGTTTCTTTCAGGCTTCCAATCAGGAATTTTTCTCGCATTTTGTGGCGGAAGATTTTAGCACCTATGTAGACAGGAAAAGACAAGAGTCTGTGCATGGAAATCATATAGAAATGCAAGCTATGTCGGAAATGTACAATCGTAGTATCCAATTATATTGTTATAGCACTGGTACGTTCTTTTATTTTTATTGTAGGGTTTTTCGTGTCGAACTCTTGATCTTTTTATCAAACCATTTTTTATTTTTAACAGAACCTATCAATATTTTTCATACTATGGTGGAAAGTGATAATGAACCAATCAGACTGTCGTATCAACGTGGCAGTCATTACAACAGTATAGTTGACCCATTTAAAGCTACTATAGGTGTTGGACTTGGTTTACCATCATATAATCCTGGTTCTGCTGATCGCGCTTTGATATCGGATGCGGTTCGTCAGAGTGAGGAATTGCATATCGAACAGGTAAATCGTTATAAGATCCGTAAACGGGAGCAAGTGAATTTGTTTGATTTTAAGAAATATTCGAAAGGTATTCTAATACATTTCGATTTTTTTTTTTTTTTTTTACGAAAAGACAATGCTGGAGGATAAAATAAAAGCTACCGATTGGGAGGCGACTAATGAGGCTATCGAGGAACAAGTAGCTCGAGAAAGTTATTTGCAGTGGTTGCGCGATAATGAGATGCGTAAGGCAGTAAGTAAAAATTTAATTGTAATCGTTTATCAGTTACTCTCTTTATTGGAGCGAAAAGACTCAGTCACGACTTTTGAATCAAGCGATCAGCCAGTAGTAGCAGTACGAGCACAGTTACGAGCGCGCAACATAATCATTCACACTTTCATTCACATGGAGGTCGTGGACAACAGCGTAGCCATACCTCTTCTCCGACTACGACACAAACTAGCCAAGATAATTTACGTAATTCTCCAAAGGTCCGTTTTTGGCTTTTATTCTTGGCGACGAAAGTCTAAGATATCGTACATAAGAGACGTTTGTTGTGATCATTAGGTCAGCGATGCGGTACGATATAACAAGAGATCGCCGCAGCATCAGTCTACTACTCAAGGCTCTAGCATATCCCATCTGCCATCGGATTTTGAAGTGAAAATGATGCCACAAGAGCCTGTACCGGGAAGCAGCAAGGAAGCGAATGCGTCACCCGATATTTCATTGTTCAATCGCCTTCCTCCTGAAGTATTTGGTGAGAATGTGTTCTCTCAAATCATTTAACTGTAGGTATTTAAAAAAAAAGAAAACTTTTATTTATAAGTTTGATATTTTTGTGCGATGGATATTAATATATATTTTGTATATATGTATATATATATATTTTACTTATGTTTAACTTAATTTTAATGTAATTTTTTAAATTTTAATGGAATAAAACCACACACATATATATATATATAATTATTATATATAAAATATATATATAATATATATTTTAAATAAGAACTATATATATATATATATATATATAGTTCTTATTTAAAATTACGTTAAAATTAAATTGAATGTAAATAAAAGAAGATAAGCTTTACTTAAAATGTTATTTTGCGCTATAACTTTTGTATTTTTTTCTTAATTTAATCTAATTTAAATTTACAGTTGATTATCCACTTGGATTAAATATTAATCAAGAATTTTTTTTTCTAGAGAAATTCTGCATTAAACTGACAAGAATTTTGTATAGTAACGTTCGTCAATTTCTAATTTCCTAGGTCTGACGGATTGGGAAGATAGCCAAATACTTTCACAAGTGTTGGCAACGTCACAACAAGAGTACTTGGATAATCTGAAGCAGTCACGCGTGTCTGCGTCCGCCGGAAACGATAGCGCCAATACGATAGAGTCTAGTAACAGTTCTATTAACAATTCTTGAAATGCGGTCGGCAACGACAAAGTTCAAAAGATATCAGAGTAAAAGATATATACATTTATATATTGCAATATCATCTAATCCCGTATTGTGCTAGGACATAAAGCGATTTGCTTTCTTATCCGTGAGTAAATGTTGCAATAATTACTATTTGGTTTCCCTTTCCATTGTTTCTCTTCGTCTTTCTCTCTCTCTCTCTCTCTCTCTCTCTCTCTATCTCTATCTCAACACAACATGTAACATACGTATGAGACTTTCCACGAGTACGTACGTTATAATCGTTAGACGCTTTGTTAACACTTACGAAGTAGCTGCGTATCTTGTTTTCCGTTGTGGGTACCTTTATATTATTATAGAAAATAATCTACATCAATTTTTTTCCAAATTATTACTGTAACAAAGAGACAAATTTTTTGTTTTTATTATAATAACCTAATCGCTATCATGATCGCTATCTATGTTATACTCCTTCTGAGGAGTTTGACATCTGTTTCACCATAAATTATGCAGTTCATTTAGGCAGAACATATATCGTTTGATATTTGTGATGTTTTCTCTTAATATAGTTTAGGTCACAACGCTTTAGAGAAATCTGCATTGCATTATTTGTAAAAAAAGGAATATAAATAAAACATCATTTAATTGTAATTTTAATTTGTCGACATTTAACTTATCGTCTAAGTATCGTGAATGTCATAGTATAAGTAAGATATATAAATAATAAAAAGGCCTTTTTTGAGATATCCTTATCTTTTTAATCTTAAAATTTAGACCAAATATTTCTTAACAAGAATTTAATTGAAGATTTTTTTATATAGTTTAATAATTTAATAGTATGTAGTTCTTAGTATAAGTGAGACATAAATGTCTAAAAGTGTTTTTTTTTTTCTTAATAAGATTGAAGACTTTCAGAGTTTAAACTAATAATTTAATATGGAAAATAAATTTTCAAAACTTTTGATACTTATTCAAATTCTTTAAAACTCCTTTGAGCAATAATTATCCTTTATATTGTGTAAGCAGGATATAAATCTATATTGTTTAAATTAGAAAAATTATACATACATACATATACATATATACGTACATACATACACCCCCCCCCCCCACACACACACACACACACACACACACACACACACACATATATACGTATATTCTTGTGAAAAAACTTATATTTATATAGTCTATCATAACAAGCCGACTAGTCCTTCAAAAGGTAGAACGTGTCGAAATATTTTCTCTTGTCTTAGATGAAATTCAATTTCACTTTAAACCTTCAGTTTGTTACTTTGTGAAAGCGAAGATGGACGTGCACATAGATTACATAGACTACGCGTTCGAAAGCATACTCGGAAAGGGAACATTTGGGTATACTATTATTTGAAATAAATTTACTACAACTACATGTGTACAAAATGTATGTATATTACAAATTGGATTTTACGGAATAATGTGTACTTTTAGAATTGTGTACTTGGTGAGAAGGAAGAAAGACTTAAAGCCATTTGTTATCAAAGTCCAAGATTTAAATGCAGTAAACCACTCGCCTTCTGAGGTATATAATTGCACAATATCGATTTTATCGAAGTAAAACGCGAAATTCAACATATGTTTCGTAATTCAGAGGACACTAGGAGAAATACGATGCTTACAAAAATTGAGACATCCAAACATAGTGTTTTATTATGGAGCATGGAAAATTAACAATTACAGCTATATTCTTCTGGAATATGCAACTCGATGTACTCTGAACGATTTGCTAGAAAAACGAGAAATACCACTTACGGAGGAGGTAATTTTCCATTGTAGACCATTTTGATACTTGTAATCTTAATATTATCAAGAAAGACACTTCTTTTGCAATCAATATTTACAATTAATAAAGTATTCCGTTAAAAAAAATCGATAGAAAATGATGGGAACCGACAGGATCTGCTAAATATTTTATATTATATAGTTATCTATCATATCTATCGTTCCACTTTTTCTATTCCGAAAAAAATATCGTTTCCTATCGTTTTCTATCATTATCTGATAAAAGCGATTTTAATCTTTGAAATATCAATAGAATTTCTATAATAACTTATTGTTTTTTATACCGTTTTGATGAAATTTGTCATGAATAAATGATTAAAACGTTATCATAATAAATTGTTTATTCATGATAAATTTTTTATGGTTCATAACTACGATTAAAAACGATTATATAGTTTTCTATCGTTTTCTATCGATTTTTTAAAATAGAGTATGTTTTAAAAATGTAATAATTTTTTATTTTATAAAAATGTAAATGTTTTATAAAAATAGATACATTAATTGTAGAAAAGAGTATTAAAAAAAAATATTTTTATTAGGACGCACTGTACCTGTTTTCGCAAGTTATTTTAGGAGTACATCACATTCACTCAAACAAAATTCTTCATCGAGATCTAAAACCAGAAAATATCATGCTGACTGGTAGCCGCGGAGACATTGTTAAGATTGGTGACTTTGGTCTCTCAAAAAATCTGCAAGAGTATGCATTGGAGTGTCAATTTTAACGAATTCTACTTTAAGCTGCGTCTACAATGAAACTTATTTAAGAAAATTAGTCAATTACAATCGATTATTCTTTTTCACGTGGAATGAATAATCGGTTATGATTGGTCAAAATTTTCTTAAATCTTACGTCTTATTGTAGACGCCGCGTTAATTGCAGCATTGCAACAGAATAGCGCTGCTATTTTGAAACTATAATAAGCATCACTGAAGTGCATTCCAATTATGATATTATGTAATTTATTCAAATCAACAATCTTTATTCTATCATGTACAAATTTGATTTTTTTTTAATTCCGTAGAGACACGATAACTTGTCATGCAGGATCTTATTATTATATGGCTCCGGAAGTGCTGAGTTTACAGCCGTACGAACTTAAGTGTGATATATGGAGCATGGGCGTTATACTGTATGAAATGGTTTCAAAGAGATTTCCATTCCCGGCCACGGTAAATTAAATTAATTAACGGCGAGACATAGTCAAGATGTAAAGTAACAGCACTTTATACATAAGTAGTAATATTGTACATGGAGCATGTTTATGAAAAGCAAGATTTTTTTTAAATGCAAAGAATATTGAAGACATTTTTACATATAAAATATTTGGATTGCTCACATTTGTCCTTCTTTACGAAATAAATATCCTCTCGATTACCATTTCAGAATCTAGCGGAAATTACGAAATTAGTGCACAATAGCCCGCCGCAGCCTTTACCGCAGTGGATGTCAGCGTCTATTGTGAATCTGATATCGAAGATGCTAAGGAAGAACAGTTTGTGTCGACCCCGCACTGATCAGCTCGTCCTTTGTCCCTTTCTTGTCCCTTACATCATTCGAGTGTATCTGAATCTTGGACGTGACATTAATCTCGCCGAACGAGAACGTGAGAATTTTGGGCCGCATATTTTCTTAAAATTTCTGAATCCGCCAAAAAAAATTTGATCGACATGACATTTTAATGAATCTTTTATGAAAAGAGGAATCGGTAAATGATATTGTTGCATACAGGAATTCGCTTTATAAAATGAAAACGCGTTTCAAATAATTTTAGGAAAGTGTTAACTAGGACTTAACGCAAAAGCGATCTTTGTTGCATGTCAATTGAATCTCGCATAGCTTAAACATTTTTTTAAATTTATATATGAAATTATCTTTTTTTAAAACATGAGATAATAAGTTTACATTATATATATGATTGTTAATATTTTTTGTAATTTTTTATGCAGTGACATTTCCAAAAGTTTTTGAGTTATGCAGGAACATGAAGATATATTTTTTTTTATTTAGATGACATATTATTGTATAATCTCTTTTCTAATGACCCTTTATAGGACTTTTATAGATAAAGCGCGATTGAGTTTAAAGTAACTTCTCATGTCTTGCAATGTATAACGTATTCACGATGCGCAAGCTCTTTGTTGTATAGAAATATTAACTTAATGATGCTCTGTATTAATTTTAATTGTCGGGAGAAAATTAAATAATGAACGATGAACGTACTGATCACGCCTGAGTTATAATTGAATACCTGTCGTTTGCGAAGCGATACGCGGAACCGATTTGCCGCCTGTGGAAACGGTCAGATTTTAATCTTGTTATTACGGCATTCTGCCTCGATGGAATTTTCATTGTTCGACGAATTGCGATCGGGCTCCCCCGAACACGCGGGATGCGTAACCGGAAGCTAAGGCCGGAACTGTGTGTATACCGGTTCGTTTCATGCCCATGTGGTGATTCTGCGGAAAACCGTACGGTTCGCATCTCGTTAGTACAGATATAGCTCTGTCGGGCTTGTTACTGTCATCCAAACTCTTTCTCGTGACATTGGTACAATGTGAAAGAATTGAAAGAATCCTCCCGAAGGTATAGAAAAGTGCTTAGTGTGCAAGAACAAACTGAAAATCTGTAATAGGTAAAGTCTAATTTTAGATACATATTTAAAGTTATTTAAAAATTATTTAGATTTCTAAGATTTTATAAATTGAGGATATAATTTTAATCGGCGCTTGCAACCTTTTGGTTTATTGACGATTCTATTTAATATCAATATTAGCATTTTTATATAAAATTGTTATTACTTATCCTTTTAGTGAGATAAGAATTCTATCGAACAAACTCCATGTCAAGACCATCGTATCTGCAGGATCCTGATGATCGAATAGTGGACGATACATGACACGTGCATCGGAGTGTAAGTTTTGTGCAAAATAAGTGATTAAGAGAGAAATTACAAGAAATTTATTCTGTGAAATTAAAAAATATTTAATCTAAGATATTTAGATTTTATTTTATTTTGAAATACTTCATTTTCTCTCTGTTCTTTTTTCCGAATAATATATTCAAAGAACAGAGAGAATAAGACTTCATTTTAATGTGAAATTTTAGTTATAAAAGATCTACTTTTTATATATACTTTTTAACATCTAGCTGCTGACAGAAATAATTTGAAATAAATAGATAAAAAATAGAAGAAGGTAGAAGCATGGTTAAGAATTTTAAAGTTTTTAAGGTACAAATTTTTTAATTTTAATCTTTTTTTACAGCTATTGATATTAATATCAATTAAATATTTGTTGAAAATTGAAAGAAATTTAATTTCTTAATATAATTTATAAAAAATCAAAATTATGAAGAAATTAAAATTTTGTAACAAGATCTCGCGAATTGAATTTTTTAATAAATTAAATTAGAAAGTAGGATTCAATATGAAATAAATCAAATAAAAGAGAAATTGCCAATATGAACCGACATAGAATTTAAATATGTATAACTGTATATTAACACAAATAGATTAAAAAATTATAAACGTTTCAACACTGCTTTGGATCTTCTTTAGCATGAATATCGACTATTATAGTTTTATTATACTGGACTCTCTAAATTGGACCACGTTTTTACTATTAATTATCTGAAATTTTAATATGGCCCAAATCTTTACTCCGGGATGAATTTTTGCCACTGCGACTCATTGTTTTAATATATATTATTAATCGCACCGAAGAAGATCTAAAGCAGGTTCGAAACGTTTATAATTTTTGTATATATTTGTATTAATATACAGTTTATACACATTTAAATTCTGTGTCGGCTCATATTGGCAATTTCTTTTTTATTTGAATTTTTTGAATTTTAATTCACTCGTTCTTCGCAGACAAAATAAATTCAAGAAGCATAATCGGATACGATTATCCGGACATGATGTCCACGTATCCAGATATATGGTGGATTTTGATATTGAGCTGCTGCTCGTATCCTTCGTGGAGCATGACTTGGTACCCTCCAACTGCCTTGAACGCGATGCGCGGAGAGCAAATAGATCTCATGGATGCTGCAAACTCTACTTACGCTTCCGTCTGGAGAAATGCTGGCGTCGCGGTTGACGGCCCGGAATCCGTCGATTTGATCGATTCAGGGCGATCCCCCATCAATTCCGTCGATCGCGACCGCGAACCGCTGGATGAAGTAGAGCGCATCGAACCCAGGCAGTGGCCAGGCAAGCCGGATATCCTACCGACTCGCAGCACCGCGCCTTTCACCACGGAAAGGTCTTTACCACCCAGATCTCCGCAGCCCACAACACTGGCTCAAAGAAACCCTTCAACACAAAGGTTGCTTTTAGAGCTTTACATAGAATATCAGCAGAAACATTTGTATCAAAAATATTCAGGCACTGATAGCTGTTGAATAACAAGTGAAAAAAAGGTGTTTTTCACGAATCAAGGGACATAAATATGCAACAGAATTATATATTTTCAATTAATTTCAATTAGATTTTTTAAATATGACTTTACAATTAGTATAAATTTGATAAACTTTTATACAATTATCATATAGAGATATTATGAACACATTAATTGTGAAATCAACTAATCTCATATGCTGTCCGCAATTTTACGTTCGTAAGATTTCCTACTGCACCACCTCCAACGGTCGCCGTCGATGAAGTCTTCTGCGATTTCGGGCCAGCACCAGCCATGCCACTTTGCGAGTGGCAAAATGGTAATGGTGCCTTGGAGTGGACTTCAGGTACTGGTATGACTACGAACTGGTTGGGTGGACCAACGACCGATGCCACGAGCGGCTCAATGGAGGGAGGGTAAAAAAACTGCTGGAGAAGGATATTTACTATTTATACAGTAAAAATATAGCGAAAGTCATATTTTCTTCAGTATTGAATTGAAGAGAATTCCTGATCCTTCGTCGCAATCATATTAGATTATAATTTGAAGCGCAAAACGTGAATTACATGAATTTTTTCTTGTGCATGAATTTCTTCTTTTATAAAGAAATCATATATTTCTTTGTATATTACACACCATTTATATTTTTACAATGTGAGTTTTGCATTTATATTTTTCATTTAATGTTCTATTTAATAATCTTGGATGCATTAATGTGTTAGATACGCTTTTCTGGAGACGTCGCACATACCTACGAGGGACCTGAAGTTTAAGAGTCCCGGAGGTCTTTTGCACAGTCCACAGCTGGGTAGCACCGGGGTCACCGGCACTTGCTTCATGTTCAAATACACCATGGACGGCCTCAGCATCGCGGGGCTACGAGTGCTGCTTCACGTCGGAACGGATGAGTTCTCGTTTAAGAAGGAGCAGACCGAGGAACTGCCTGTAGAAAATATCACAGTGTCATGTGAACCGACGGAAATCGCCATGGAAGAGCGCGTACTGTGGCACGCGCAGTATTACACGCTCGGACTGTGGCAGCAGGCCCAAATACTGTATACTTATCCTAAATTACACTCGGTAGGTATATTATTGTCATTTGATTTGGTCAGATTTAATCAGTAAATATGAAATTCTATAGCTAATTCAGAGAATCAAAATTACACTTATGTTAAAATTAAATTGATAGGAACTGGTTATAATTTTCTTCAATTGCTTTTGTGTAATTTATCTAAATAATGAAGCGATTAATTGTCCAAGATATAATTATTTGACGAATAAATTAATATTACAAAGATATTAAAATTTATTTACAAATATATTATTATATTTATTTGTTTGGCAAAATTATCGTATTAATATTGGAATTTGCCAAACTTTTGTTACGTATTAATTATAAATATCTCTAGAAAATAATAAGAAATCTTGACACTTAGATAGTTATTGAAGGCGTGCCAGTGGACTCCACGGATCCGTCGCGACTATATCGCGGATACATCGCTATCGACGACATAGATCTGCAGCCTGGTACGTCGTGCGTTGGATTCTGTAATTTTGCCGGTGGCTTCTGCGACTGGAACAACGATGCGGAAGATGATTTCGATTGGACCATAGTGAGTACGCTACCAAGTTTAAGCGCAATTTTATCATTCTGCGTTTATACGTTGATAGTTTGAGAAAGCACACTTTTAGAGTCGCGGAAGCGGAAATCCCACGACCGGTCCAGCGATGGACAGCTCTAACGACCGCGCCACAGCCGGTGGTTACGCTTACATCGATTCCAGCTTCCCGCGAAGACCCGGCGACACGGCGAAAATCATAAGTTCGAGCTTCCCGGCAACAATGCCGGATGCACCAATGTGCATGCACTTCTGGTTTCACATGTTTGGAACTGGCATCGGTTATCTGAAGTTATTCCTACGTCATTTTCGCAGCTCGGACACGCAGCTGCAAGAGATTTGGAGCCTGTCCGGAAACGCCGGTAACGCCTGGTTCATGTCGCAAGTTACGATCAGCTCGCTCGACGATTATCAGTTAGTTTTTGAAGCGTCAGTAGGAATCACCGGCATGGGGGATATCGCAATCGATGAAATTTCATATGGGCCAGGCGCTTGCCCTGGTAGGTTCTTGAACATTATTTGAAATTTATGTCGAAACGAGAAATTAGATTAGATTTCAACATTTGCTCGCGTAAAACTTCTTATGAACATTAAATGTAGTGAATTGAGACTCTCTTCTCTTTAAATTAAAAGTATGTAAGACGGTCTTATCGTATTTCTCTCTAAATATATTGAAGTCTTACTTGTAAAACTCTCCAAATATATTTAAGATCTGAGTTTTTATTATATCGATGATTATCTAATTCAGATTGATTTTCTAACATCTGCATTGATTGACAGTGTCACCACAAGTGGCTGCACCAGTGTCGCGGGATTGCACCTTCGAGCTCGATGAATGTGAATGGATCAACTCGCGAGATCCGGATCGCGTCGAATGGGAGAGGGCATCCACTCAGGTGTTAGGCCCGAGGAATCAGAGGAAACCGTACAGCAGTGGACACACAGTTAACCGACGCAACGAATATTTTCTGGGACTCGCGCGTCTTCGAGGTGGTCCGCGAGCATCTGGAGGTGGTACCGCTCAGCTGGTCAGTCGAGCGATGAAGGGTACTCAAGACGCGCTTTGCATCACATTTTGGTACTTTATGTTCGAGCCCTTCATCGATTCCACAGGACCCAGCTTAGGTAGAGTTTTTCAAAAGAAAATTAATAAAGTTATCTGACAGAATGGAATATCTTTGAAATAAATCATTAATTTTGTAATTTATTTAAAACTTTGTGTTTTAGATTTATGGCATTTTCCTTATTTAATAATTAAGGATTTAATCACAGAATTTCTTAATCTTAATTGATCTAATAAATAATACTATCTTTACAAGGAAAAATAGATGATATAAGAAATCAGATTGAATTATTGCTAGCCTGATTTCTTTCAGGATATATGCTGCATAAATGGAATTTATCGACAAAATAAGAGCAACGTTTTTAATTTTATAGGCGTCTTGCGAGTGTACGTGCAAACAGAGGGTGATAGTTCGAAAACTAAACCCATATGGCAATTGTACAATAATCAAGGTCCCACCTGGAGCTACGCTCAGGCCAACATCAATCAAAACACAGACTTCAATATCGTGTTCGAGGGTATTTGGGGTCCGAACAGAGCGAGTGGTAGCATAGGAATTGATGATATCGCCTTTTATACCGGAAATTGCAGTGGTGAATATTTTCTCCTTTTTTTCTTCTAAAATATTTATTTCTTTTGGAGTATAGTACTCATCTTCTTATCTCATTTTATGCATTATCTTTATGTTTTACATCTACAGTGAAACCGTTGAGCGCAGTCGTCCGCCCAGAAGACTGCAGCTTCGAGAAGGATTTGTGCGGTTGGGAGAACATTACTATTTCCGATAACGATCGTGGGGTGACGTGGCAGCGTGCGTTTCAGGCCCATCGACCGGCCCAGTTGTTGGACAGAACCTTTGGTGCGACTGGCGATTTTGTATTCTTCGACATCTTCACGTCGAATAAGGAATCGACGAAGGTCCAGCTACAATCGCCCGTCATCAACGCCTCGCCCGACGAAGAGTTCGTATGTTTCACCTTTTGGTTCGTCGCCTTCGGCGTAGAGGAGTCCACCACTCTGCGAGTGATAAAAATGCCTGCCGAACAGGCACAGGCCGAGGAGGGAGAGAACGAGGGCGAACAGGAGCAACCGGTACGAGTTGTTATAAATCCGAATAAAATATTGATGACAATATTCAGAATGTTACTTATTGCATGTTCTTTAAATTCCTTGGTAGAGATAAAAAAAATTTTAACTTCTGCTTTACTTCCAACTTAATATCAAATGCATGAAATAAACATTTTTTACGAAACAGTATAAATATGGTTCACTCTTGTTTTAAACCTTTAATTTCATTATTTCAGTTATGGTCTCTAACAGCCAAAGGATTGAATAATCCGCGACCGGTCTGGATGGCGGCACAAGTGGCGATTGAAGCGCGAACTCCGTATCGGCTTATTCTTGAGGGAAGCGCCAGTAACGGAGGCTTTGCTGTCGACGACATAAAGTTTCAGCCTCTAGCCTGCGCAAGTAAGACCAATGAAAAAAAAGAACATCATATAGAATCAAGCTGATATTAAAAAATATGTATTTTTTTCTTAGCTCGACCACCCAGTGCTCAACCGATTCAAACCGAGAGCGAGACATGAGAAAAATTACTATGTGGTAATTGCGAAATAAGTTTCTATTAAAGTTGAAAGAATCATTTTTACCCAATATTTAACAGCTATATTTATATAATATTTAATTGTACTACAAATACAGTAAAATAAATCATTTTTATATAAAATAAATAAAATAAACTATTTTAATTTTAAAAAATGTATTGTAGAATTATCTTTGTGACAAAAAATCTTTATATAATTGAACGAATTAAACTAACGTTTGCGAAAAAGCTTCATTATTATAACTTATAAACAAAATAAAAATAATAATAAAGTAAATTTTATTAAAATAAATATAGAAATATTCTATAGAAATTGTATTTGTATTGAATGTTTCTTGTAACGTACAAAATTATAACTAAGATATCAGAAAGGATATCATGAGTACAACGATAAATTATAAATAATGATCCTGCCGAAGAAATCGGTGCTTTCGTTAAATACAAATTTAAAAACCTTGGCGCTAATCTGATTTTTCAAGTTAAATCGCTGTAACTTGTTCGTATCTTCTGGTGAAAAAGATTGGATAATTGTCAGCTCCTTTTTATCATTACCGGCCTCTACATGACAATTCTTTCCAGCAAATCCACCTTGGAATTCTATCTCAAAGCTGGAAAGACTGCATTCTTCTTCAAAGCTAATGAAAACCCACTGTGGACTTCCCTGTCGTGTATATATTGTTCGTCACATTAAATTATATCATTAAATATAAAAAGTTAAACTATAAAAAAACTAATTGGTTACCTACAGCATCCGAATTCCAACACGTTTCGCTGCAATTATCAAACATATACATCTTTCCATAAGATTGAACGTTCTTGTTTAGCACAGAACTCACCCTGAATAAAATATCGAGTCATTATTAAAGCATTCTTTTAGTAATATATTTTATTTAGAAGAACATTTATATTATAAACATGGCAAGCAAATTTCTCTTATAACTGTTATTATTTTATTTTATTGTATAAAACTAACCGACACTCGAAGTTCTTTTCTGTCAACAGGGTAGGCATATTGGTATCCTTATTTTTTTCTACAAAAAGAAATAATTATATCACGGCAAAGTTAGAGAAAAATTCTTTTCAGAGAATAGTTCTTTATTTCTTCTCAAGTCTCCAATGCTGTATTTTCTGTTATTTTCCTGATTTCTCTCATTCTCTCTTGCACTATTCTCAAAACTACTCATACATTTAACCACGTGATATGTAACAGGTTGACATGATCACGTTAGAATGAGAAAGAGAGACTTCGTTTATTCGAATCAACTTTATTTCACCTTAGATTAAAAAAAAAAGGAGTATTGAGAAGAAATTTTGCGATGTTGAACGGATCCCGTACTTTGGACTCGTTGGACTAGACAGATTTATTCTAAATACTCCGAATTAAATAAAGTCCGTATTCTGAATTTGTTGATTTAATAAACAGGCTCCGAATTCAGAATTAAACATAACCTCCTCCGTCTTCTGAACTCGTTGAACTAGATATATAACCTGTATTGCTGTTACTTTGATGCGATTGGACTAAACAGGTAGACGAAAAATTCCAATCTGTTCCAGCCAATCGGCGCGCCCGACACGCGACGCGCGCAGCGCCACTTGTGACGAACGGAGGCAGGAAGTCGTTCATCGTCATCTTTTACTTTCAGGTGCCATTCCACGAAAGGACATGGTGGAAGGTGGGTGCTGAGAGAGATCCTTGTATCGCATGTAGCCGAGCCTTCGAAGGTGAGAGACTCGCGAGAAGACGAAGCGACACACGAGAGATCAGGTTGCCGTTTACGCCGGAGCATGGCGGAGTATCTCGATTCCGAGGCGGACGTGAGCGAGGTAAGTCTTTTTCTCTCCGTTTTTTTCTCGCCTCGCCGCGCGGCGCGGCGCGGCGCGGAGATTCTCTACGCGGAGAATCTCGTGCGCTTACGACGAGGCATCCGCCGAGCCGTACGGCGCACCACCGTACGCACGATGCTGAACGTATGCGGATGCGTTGCAGGGCGAGGAGGAGTTGGACCAGAATGAGAAGAAGAAGCTGAGGAAGTTGAAGGCGGTGGAGGAGAGCGACGACGAGGAGGAAGGTAAGGAAGGTCATGGCGCAAGCCTTTCGCGGCTTTTTACGCGCGTGTGACACGCTCGGCGCGGACGCCGATTCGCCGATTGACGGCAGATCGCTGCAGGGAGTCGATTGCGTATCTTAAAACAAGGTGAAAATTTTACAAGAGCGAGCAAATTCGCTGGAACATTTTAATTTCATTAACTTAATATCTAGTGAAATTGTTCACCTTTGTAAATTTTGCCAATTTTTTAAGAACCGAATAAGCATTATTTCGTAATACAGTTTTTTTTTTACTACGTTTTATCCAGAAGATATTGCTTCCCTTTAGTTTATCTTAGCCACAGACAAAATAGATATAGCTACAGATAAAAGTAATCATCTTACTTTTTATTTACTGATCTCGAAATATTTTGTTTCATCTTTTCTTCCTCTTTTTGTTATCTTGGACTACATTCCAAAACGCTGCTTTTGAGAAAAATTTTATTAAAGAGCTATAGTTTACGTTAAATATGCTATAGCTTTTTAGTAAAATTTTCTTCGAAAGCAACGTTTTGGAATGTAGCCTTGGTCTATGTATACTTTTATTTTTCTGCTTTTTTTTTAATTTATTGTTTTTAATAAGAAATTTTTACCAATCTATTTAGAATATTTTTTATTACTTAATAGCAAGATTAATTTAGACTTTTATTCATGTTTAAATTTTTAGTTTATACGTACAAAGATGTTCATAAAAATAAGATGGGAATTGAGCTGTTAGACAACAAAAATTAAAAGATTTAAAAATTTATATTAGAAAATTGAAAGATCTTAATTTCTTATTTTTATAATTTTTTTATCTGCTTTATATTTCTGTCCTAATTTTGCAATAATGAATGTATAGTAATGTACTCCAGTACATTTTAGAACATTTGTAAGATTTCGTTCACATAACGATTAAGCAGCATTTGAATGTGATTGTTTGCATTCAAATATAAGAACTAATCATATTTGACTGTTAGCTTAGAGAACAATTATAATATTGGGGTGCATTCAGGAATTCTCGGTATAACATTTTATCCTTGTTATTCACTGAATGTGAAACAAGGATGATATCTACACCTGGGTGAGGTTTCTGAACGCAGCTTTGAATGCACTTGCGATGTTGAATGCACTAGTGTACATACAGGGTGTTACATATTAAGCAGTATGACGGCAGTATTGCGCGGCAGACTTTGCCCCTTTGTGGGGACAGACACGCGGCTCAGTAATACTAAAAATTTAAAAAGTACTAAACTAAATACTCATTATTTACTAAGCTGCGCCTATCCCTGCAAGTCTACCATGCAATTTATTATACTGTCTAATATATTATGTAATATTCTGTACATGAACATATTTTTCGCCATAAGTTCTTACAGTGTTTTAAGAGGCTCATTAGCATTGGTATTATTATTATCAATTTAATTTAATTTGTGATAGTACTCCAGCTTCAGTTTAGAAATTGTTTCAAGACCGGCAAAAAATTAGTGCGCATCTTGCGTGAACTGGAAATTGTAAAATTCACGCAAATATATTATTTGCACCAAGATCTGCTTCGATCAAACAAGGCTTTTTTCACTTATTTGCGTTATTTATGTATCTATTGATTTTCACTTATTGCATATTTTTTATCTTTAAATGTATATCTAATTAATTAGATTTGCTTCCGATACATTATATCTAATTTAATTGACTTTTTAAAATTGTGATTTATTTATATACTTATGTTATTTGTACGCATGTTGTATACATATGTGCAGCATTGACATAATATATTTTATAGATGATGAGGATCAGTTGCGTGAGGAACTGAAAGATTTGATAGACGACAATCCTATAGAGGAAAGCGAAGGTGAAGACAGTGACGGTTCTACTCATCATAAAAAGCGTAAGAAGAGCGATGACGAAGATTTTGATGATCGCTTGGAAGATGAAGATTACGATCTGATTGAAGAAAATTTAGGCGTTAAGCTTCAAAGAGTATGTATTGACCTTCTATGTATTGGATTGTCCTTAAAAATAAGAAAAGCTTATTAAACGATACTAAATATTTTACTTTGCGTTACAGAAACGTTTTAAACGTCTTCGAAGGATCCAAGATGAGGAGTCAGAGGAAGAACAAGAAAAGGAAGCAGATGAGGAACGGGACGCTATTGCCAATGAATTGTTTGAAGGTTCCGGAGATGTAAGTCACGTAGATAATGTCAGATTCAACATTGAGTGTGGAAAAGTATTAAGAAATTTACATAGCACATTGATTTGCAATATTAGATCGTGCAATTTGCACTTTGTTGCTTCTTGTTGAATTCTTATTTTGTGTACATAAATGTATTTAAGAATACAAACACGTGTTTACACATGTATACATATATACGTATATCATGTTTGTATTTGTTAAACACACGCATACTTATGTTAGGAAAGGGATATTATTACGGTATGTAATATATGTAATGCTTGTACAATGTTTGTGCGATTTGCAAAGGTGTAGTATCTTTATTTGTTTCTTCGTAATTGCTCTTAGGAGGACGAAAGACGAAGTGAACGAAGTCATAGGCCGGAGGCGGAAACCTTCGAGGAAGGCAGTGACGAAGGAGAATACACTGACGCGGATGATTTCATTGTCGACGATGATGGTAGACCTATCGCGGAGAAGAGAAAGAAGAAGAAGCCAATATTTTCTGATGCGTACGTTAATGATATTTAATGTTTTCTTTAATATCTATTGGTGTCTTCAAAGCTTGAAGTTTACAATGAGACTTCAGATTTTATAAAATTGACCAATTACAATTTATTATTTTCCTTACGCCGTTTAAGATTTATTTGCCTAATGACATAAGTAAAATTTATGGTCGATGTTTATGATAGATATAATGAGAATTTAGATAATAAAAGCATATCTTTTTCTATGTATAGGGCGTTGCAAGAAGCACAAGATATTTTCGGCGTTGATTTTGATTATGACGAATTTGGTAAATACGGCGAGGAGGATTATGAGGAGGAAGAGGAAGAAGAAGAGGATGAATACATGGATGAGGACATTGATGCTGAACGGCCGCGACGACCGAAGAAGCAGCTGAAGAAAAAGACCACGAGAAAGAGTATCTTTGAGATTTACGAGCCCAGCGAATTGAAACGCGGTCATTTTACCGATATGGATAATGAGGTACGATATAATATATTATATGATATATTATATAATATATTATATGATATATTATATAATATATTATATAATATATTATATGAACGCTAATTGTTAAAGCAATTTATCAGCGACATTAGATAAGTGTAACAATATTTTTTATTATTGAATTTGAGTACGTTTAATTTTTTTACATTATGCATAGTCTTTGAAAATAATACAGTAGAGAAAATTGCAATAGTATTATATTAGTATTACAATATAAAATTTTATATTATAATTTATATTACAATATAAAATGTTGTCTACATCGAAATGCGTAACATAAAAGCTAATAATTAAATTTGAATAATGATACAGAAATTTTTTGATCATATATTTTTTGATTTATCATAAAATGCAGAAATAAACAAATGCGGTAAAAAAATATTTAATAATTGACTACACGATTTTCTAAATTACTATTTGTGATCTGACTTTAAATTGCAGATACGTAACACAGATATACCAGAAAGAATGCAACTGAGATCTGTACCGGTCATACCAGTTCCGGAAGGTTCTGATGAGTTGGACCTTGAAGCAGAATGGATCTACAAGCAGGCATTTTGCAAGCCTACAGTTTCTATTCAGGATGCTCACTTGAATGCTGAGGCTAAGGAACGGGCACGAAAAGGACCGCAGACTATCGGCAAAATTAAGAAAGCCTTGGACTTCATGCGCAATCAACACTTTGAAGTTCCTTTCATATCCTTCTACAGGAAGGAATACGTACTGCCCGAGCTGAACATTAATGACCTGTGGAAGGTTTATAAGTTCGATGCGAAATGGTGCCAGTTAAGCCAGCGGAAGGAGAATCTGCTCAAGCTGTTCGAGAAGATGCGTAACTATCAACTGGATGAAGTCATGAAGAATCCGGACGCGCCGCTACCGGACAACGTGCGAGTGATCAAGGACGACGACATTGAGCGACTGAAAAACGTGCAGACGAGTGAAGAGCTCAATGACGTCTATAATCATTTCATGCTGTATTACAGCCACGAGATCCCGGCGATGCAGGAATCCGTGCGCCAGAAGGAGAGGCAAGCGCGACGCGAGGAGAGAATCCTGCGACGCAGGCAACAGATCGCTGAGGCAGAAGAAAACGGAGAGGATCCACCGGAAGAGGAAGAAATAATAGAGGAAGAAGAACCTGAGGACACGCTAAAGCAAGCCGTTAGAAGCGGCCCGTACTCGATCTGTCGGAAGGCCGGTCTGGACAGTCTGGCGAAGAAGTTCGGCCTAACACCCGAGCACTACGCTGAGAATCTTCGTGACAATTATCAGCGTCACGAGGTGGATCAGGAGCCGACCGAACCGACGACAATCGCGATCGAGTACTGCAGCTCGCGATTCAAGACCATGGAGGAAGTGTTGAAGGCCGCTCAGCTGATGGTGGCAATCCAATTGGCGCGCGAGCCGCTCGTCCGCAAATGCGTGCGCGAGATGTACATGGAACGCGCCAAGATATCCGTGAAGCCGACGAAGAAGGGCATCAAAGAGATCGACGAGAATCATCCGATCTACACAATGAAATACTTGAAGGACAAGCCGGTGCGCGATCTCGTGGGCGTTCAGTTCCTGAATCTGATGATCGCCGAGGAGGACAAGCTCATCACGATCACCCTCAGTGACACGATCGAGGGCAACACCACCAGCAATTACGTCGACGAGATGAAGCAGCTCTATTGCCGCGACGAGTTCAGCAAACTCGTGCAAGACTGGAATGCCCTGCGCGTAGGCAGCGTCGAAATCGCGCTCAATCGCATGGTGATACCGCATCTGAAGAAGGAGCTGCGCACGAATCTGATCGCCGAGGCGAAGGAGTGCGTGATGCGCGCGTGCTGCCGTAAGATGTACAACTGGATCAAGGTCGCGCCGTACAGCTGCGAGTTCCCGGAGGAGGAGGACGAGGAATGGGACACCAGTAAAGGCCTGCGTGTCATGGGCCTGGCTTACGTGCCCGATTATTCTCAGGCAGCGTTCACCTGTCTGATCGCGGCCGACGGCGAATGTACGGATTACCTGCGCCTGCCGCATCTGATGAAGCGCAAGAACAGTTACCGCGAGGACGAGAAGACTATGAAGGAGGCCGATCTGCTGGCGCTCAAGAACTTCATAGCCACGAAGAAGCCGCATGTAGTCGTGGTGGCCGGCGAGTCCCGAGAGGCAATGATGATCGCCGCCGACATCAAAGAATGCATCACTCATCTGACGGAGGAGGAGCAATTTCCCAGCATTCAGGTGGAGATATGCGATAACGAGCTCGCGAAGATCTACTCCAATAGTAACAAGGGTAACTCGGAGTTTCGGGACTACCCGGAACTGCTACGCCAAGCTATCTCGCTGGCGAGAAGGATACAGGATCCGCTGGTGGAGTTCTCGCAATTATGCACGGCCGACGAAGAGATTCTCTGCCTCAGGTACCACAACTTGCAGGATCAGTTGCCCAAGGAAGAACTGCTGGAGAATTTATATCTGGAGTTCGTCAATCGCGTGAACGAGGTTGGCGTAGATGTGAATAAGGCTGTCCAACAGGCATACTGCGGCAACCTTGTTCAATTTGTTTGCGGTCTCGGCCCGCGAAAGGGTCAGGCGTTGATCAAGATGCTGAAGCAGACAAATCAGCGGTTGGAGAACAGGACGCAGTTGGTTACCGCGTGTCACATGGGGCCGAAGGTGTTCATCAATTGCGCCGGCTTCATCAAAATCGACACCAACAGCCTGGGCGACAGTACCGAGGCGTACGTGGAGGTGCTCGACGGTTCGCGCGTACATCCCGAGACTTACGAATGGGCCAGGAAGATGGCAGTCGACGCTCTGGAGTACGACGACGAGGACGCCAATCCCGCTGGCGCTTTGGAGGAGATACTCGAGTCGCCTGAGCGCCTCAAGGACTTGGATCTCGACGCTTTCGCGGAAGAACTCGAGCGGCAGGGTTTCGGCAACAAGTGCGTCACTCTCTACGATATCAGGGCCGAGTTGAACAGCCGGTACAAGGATCTTCGTGTGCTATATCAGTCGCCGAGCGCGGAGAAGTTATTCGACGTTTTGACGAAGGAGACACCCGAGACCTTCTACGTCGGCAAGCTAGTGTTGGCCACCGTGGTCGGCATCAGTCATCGAAAACCGCAGGGCGATCAGCTCGATCAGGCGAATCCGGTGCGAAACGAAGAGACCGGTCTATGGCAGTGTCCGTTCTGCCTGAAGAACGATTTTCCCGAGTTGTCGGAGGTGTGGAATCACTTCGACGCTGGCGCTTGTCCGGGCAAGGCTACCGGCGTAAGATTGCGACTGGACAATGGCATCTCCGGCTATATTCACATCAAGAACCTGTCGGATCGGCACGTCGCGAATCCCTGCGAGAGAGTCGGTATGGGGCAGATCATTCATTGCCGGATTATCAAAATCGAGGTAGACCGATTCAGCGTCGAATGTACCAGCAAGAGCAGCGATCTCGCTGATAAGAATCACGAATGGAGGTGAGCAGATCACATAGTTATAAAACATAAATAATCTAGTTAAATAATTTCTACATAGATCTATCTTCTTTAAAATTGTGCGAATAGAAAGTTTGACAGAAATATAACAAAAAATCATATTTCTCTAGTTTGAAATATATAGATATCATGATTTTTTAAATATAATATTCTGTAAATTATGTGTGCATCATAAATATAAATCATATTTGCAGGCCGCAACGGGATCCGTTTTATGACACCGAGACCGAGCAGAGGGACATAAAGGTAGAAGAGGACGCGAAGAAGGCGAAACAGCGGCAGATCTACGTGAAACGCGTGATCGTCCATCCGTCCTTCCACAATATCAGCTTCGCCGAGACTGTGAAACTGATGCAGACAATGAAGCAGGGCGAAGCAATAGTGAGACCGAGCAGCAAAGGCGCCGATCACTTGACAGTCACGTGGAAGGTCACCGATGACATTCTCCAGCACATCGATGTTCGCGAGGAGGGCAAGGAGAACGCTTTTTCATTGGGACAGAGCCTGTGGATCGGCAACGAGGAGTTCGAGGATCTGGACGAGATCATCGCTCGACATGTAAATCCCATGGCCGCTTACGCCTCCGAATTGCTCGACTTCAAGTACTACAAGCCCGGTGTGGAGGGGATCAAAGACAAAGCGGAGGAGATACTGAAGGATCAGAAGAAGGAGAATCCTGGTGGAATTCCTTATATCATGTCGGCAGCTAAGGTAAGTAAACGCATAGTTTAATAATTTTCAACTTAACGTCCAGTACGCGTAGCACGGTAGAGGTTTCTCGAAAATCTTTTTCATTTCTGATTGAAAAACAATTTCATTTTTGTTTCTTCTTTCGTAGACTTATCCTGGAAAGTTTCTACTCTCGTATCTGCCGCGTACCCGTTGCCGCCACGAATACGTCACAGTGACATCCGAGGGCTTTAGATTTCGAGCGCAGATGTTCGGTAGGGTGAGCGACCTGTTGCGCTGGTTCAAGGAACACTTTAGGGATCCCGTCCCTGGACAATCCACTCCTAGTACACCGCGCGGCGCGATGACCTCGAGGACACCTTACACTACTACGCCAGGAACAGTCAGTGGTAAGTCCTATCTATATCATCATTGCAAATCATTGTCAGTCACCGGCATTCTTATGCGAATAACTCCTAGAATCATAATACAGAGATCAAAATGCATATATATTTTATTAGAAAAAAAAAATATTTCAAAATAAAATTATTCTACACATTCTATCGTTATCAATCAGCTCTAATTTATTTTTCGTTCGTCGAAATGAAACAAAACGTACAAAAATGAGTACATGAATTTTAATATAAATTAAATGAAGTGCACAAATATTTGCGGACTGTAATGTATTGATTGTTATTTTGATATTTCAGGAATGAATCAAGAAGCAATACAGCGAGTTGCACAAAACCTTCCGCATCACATGTTGCACTCGCTATCGCAAGTGGCGAATCAAACGCCGCATCACTATCCGCCGCACACTCCGGGAGCGGCTAGTGCTACCGGCTACGGCGGAGTGCACACGTATCCCAACACGCCGTACACGCCGTCTGGCCAAACTCCGTTTATGACTCCGTATCAGACGCCGCATCATACGCCGCATCACGGCCAGCCCACTCCCAGATACGGTCAACAAACTCCTAGCCATCATCAAGGACCCTTCGTACACCCGCCGCCACCCTCGATGACGCCCGGCCATCATAGGTCCGCTCAATCGCACAGACCTACACCACCCCTGTCCACTCCTTCCGGCGATCCCATGGATTGGAAGAAGACCGGCGATCCCACGGACTGGAAGAAGGCCGCCGAAGCGTGGGCACGTTTGAAAAGCGGTCCTCGAGTATCGTAAGTATAATAATAAATAAATAAACGATCACACTCAATTTTTCATTTAAACATATTAAACGATCATTCAATTATCAAACATTTTTTATATCTTATGTGAGATGTTCTTCATTCGATTATCGTTAATGGTTAAATGTGCTTTCAGCGGATCGACGCCCAGGTACGAAGAGTCCAGAAAAACTCCGCGTAACTACGACGACCCAATCGGTAGAACGACGCCCTCCGGAAGGAGCAGGCCCTCCTCCACGCGTACTCCATCGTATAAATCTCCGCGAGGTACTCCACACACGAATTCTAGTCCACGGAGTATGTCTCTCAGCGGAGATGGTACTCCTCTCTACGATGAGAGCTAACGGGATTGTGCATAGCTGATAATATTTATTAGTTACGTCATATCATGCTATGTATGAGATAGTAAGAGTACGTGTGGCCCCTCGACGACGGGTAATTTGTCTCACCCCGAAATATCGTTGATTGCTCGCGTCAAACCGATCATTGGTCGTTGCAGGATATGCAACACGCGTAGCGAGTTCTTCCACTTTCTTGCATGCCGCGAGGTTCCGTTCGCGAATCAAGAGAGCGTCGATTGGCTATTGTAAACTACGGTGTTGTACTGTAATTTATTTATTTTGTAATTTCGCGATTTTTTCCTATGTACATAATAAAATTTACGAAAACTTTAACGAAGACCCCTCTCACGAGCACGCTCTGCAATCTTCTTGATTCATTTTCCCGTACATGGCATCAATGAGAAAAATAATTTGTAAAAAGTAAAACTAGTTTACTGGAATTATTTCAATATTACAATACAATAATTTTCAAAGTTTATTTTTTTTCATCAGTTACAATAAAGATATTACAAGACTAGAGTCAACTTAGAATAATATACTTAATCAATATCTTTTTACGGGCACGTTACTAATAGCATAGAGTTGAAAAGAGATTGTAACTGAATTTTGCTCAAAGATATATTTTATACTTTTCATTGGTGCCGTTATGCTTGTAACATAGAGAACTGATTGATCTAATTACTTATCGTACCAGCAGCGGTACATCTCTTGAGTGCTGCATGGTTTACAGATTTCTATAAGTTTTATACATAAATACCTGGACTGCTATCTTAGAAAGATGAAAGTAAGCCAAATGATCTTGGGAAAGACAGTGACAATTTTTCAGGAATTTTCATCATTAACGTTACTTTATAGAAAATATATGAATTCACGAAATAATTGAAAATTTTTCCCCCAAACTGATTCGTAATTGTAATATATTAGCGATCTAGGTATTCTATAGAAATCTGCATTATGTATATATATATATTCAAGTAGCGTTTATATAGAAAATATCTGCAGAATAATTAAATTAAGATTCACTGTCGCTGTGTATACTTGAAATTACTAAATAGCTTGCATCTGATTAATGCCTTATTTAGTAAATTTCTTTGTAAAAGCGGAAACAAAGATGATTATCTTTCGTATTTGTATCGACTATGGTTTTTATTTAAATATGCACCAATGAATTATGTATGTTTCTTATATGACTTTACTTATATAGAACAGACGCATTTCATACAATTTATATAATTGTTAAATGATAACATTAAACTTAAAAGCAATATGTTTAAGTGTTATATCTTTTACAATTCCTTGTGGCTTTTTATTTCTCCTCCGTTTTAAAAATATTCCCATCTTTTTAATATAATATATATATATGGTATATAATATGCAACGTGTTGTCTTTTTTCAATAATTTTTTTATAAATATATTTTATTCAAAATTAATGGCACTTCTATATTGTCTTGTTATAAATGAACGAAAATTGTGAATTTTATGATTCATTACATTCTTGTGTAGACAAAGAAGTTATCGAGATAGGAGAATGTTATACAATCTATTCTCAATAAACTTTACAAAAATAGAACAGCACATTCAGCATTCACAAGACAATATATAATTATACGATGAGAAATATATAGAAAAATATTCTTTTAAAATACAACTTTCACGTATTTATTATTGATATAAAAAATAATGTTTATACGAGATTACTGTTCGAGATTATATAGACGATACTTCGTTTTCTGATAGGAAATCTTCTGATTGCGGAATACCTTGATAATAAGTATATGTCATCTTTTGTTTTTCGGATCTCTTCGTTGGTGAATAATAGTTTGTGTAATGCCTGTGAATAAATAAAATAAATCACAATATAAATAGTGCATCGCTCAAGTAAAAAAAATATATTGAAGGATATAGAAATTACCTGGATTTGGTTGGGTCCTTACGTCTATTTGAAGCTGTTTCTACTTTTTGCCGATTCCTTAATGTCATGGTATAGTGTGATTCTGGATTTGCATTTTTGTTTGTCTGAGAATTGCGCACACGCTGCATAAAAAAAATATAATGTATAGTTTTTTGCTTGAAAACATGAAAAGCAAAATGACATTTTCCTTTCGATCAATGTTACCTTTCGCGGAGATGCTTTTTGCTCTTCTTCGTTGGAACTGGACGAGAACATCAATTTTTGTACTAGTTGTCGTTTCCTACCGACGGATTTTCGAAATTTCTTCGAATTATCGGCTTTCCTTGCATTGCTAGCAGTTTTCACATTAGGTGATTTTTTGGGAGATCGCGAATTTTCGATAACGATCGTCTAAATTAAAAGAATGTGTATAATTAACTTTACATTTTTTATTAATAAATTTATATTTAGCGGAAATATTATATTACTTACTTGATTCATATTTGTACTAGGAGTCTTATTTTCTGGTAACGGTGTTTGCTTATTTATATCTTGCTTCTTTGATGTGTTCTTGGAATTCACTTTCTGTTTCTTTTTTTTTCAGCGTTTTACAGTTTTACACAAAAAAAAAAAAAATATATAAATATACAATTGTGACAAATGTTAAACAGCCAATATAAATATTTTTGTAATTATAATAAATTTTACCATAGTATTCTTTTCTCTTGAGTTATCAGTCAGTGTAAGTAATAATGATTTCTGTGAATTTCCCGGACTGTAGACTGGATTGTTATCTTTCAAAGTTATACGTTCACCTATAAAAATTAAGATTTTTAATTATTTGTCTTTCGCAAAAAAAATCAATTTAATCTCTCTTTTCATATCTTTATTATTAATTTATTTATTTACCTGTCCAGTATGATAGTGGAGGTAAGATACGACGGCCTCTTGAACTAATAGGTGCATTCAGCGAGTCCATTGTCGCATCATGAGATTTCTCCTCTTGAATTTCTTGAATATTACCTAGAAAACGAAAATAATTGCAACATACGATATCTTAATATATTTATTAAAAGTAAAACATATTTCGAGAAACTTACCGTGCTGCAACGTTTTCCAAATCAGACAAAATTGCTCGATCCTCGCAGGACATCCGTTACGAAATTGTTGCACAAGCTCCTTGGGAATAACTAAATACAACGAAGCGATACTGTTAATTGACAAATATTTCAACGTACAATTATTACTGGATTTCGGATACTTTACTGTGCTTGTTATCATTTAAATCTCCACGAAGCTCGTAGAGTTCGTGATTCGCCGTTTCGATTAGCGTCGCTGATAATCGCTTCAGCACAACGTCCGTCGTAAACTTCCTGTGCACAACGTGGCCAGCATCGCTGTACGTAGAAAAAGAATTTTATAAATATCGTCTAATTATTAATTATATTATACATGTAATCGTTTTGATTATTTAGTCATATTATCTAAAAGAACTTACTTGAATAATTTTCCTTGAAAAGCTAAACCCAACTGGGATTTCGATTTCGCGTAATGTACTACTTTTGGCACCCACGCGGTCAGCACTTTGGGATTTTTCTCAACTTCAGGCTTACTGCTTTTAGGTTGCTTAGTTGTTGGATTCGTCGTCGAATTAACAGGCTTTATATCATCCGTTTCGTTTTTGTTATTTATTATCGGACAAACCTCTCTCTTATTGTCAACTGTTGTCTTCGAGTGAGAATCACTAACCGCAAGTTTTTTTGTAGCGATTGACGTCTTCGACGTGGACTTTTTTTTGTCAGTCTCCTCCAACGCCGGCCGAATATTTACGTCCTGCTTATCTTTATTCTTCGCGATCATCTGGGGATCTTGCAATTGTCTTGCTCTACTTATTCTCAACTTCAAATTTACCGGCATCGAACTGATTATAGTGGGTTTGGATTTCTTCACCGCAACCTCGCCTCTCGTCTGTTCGGTAAACTTTTTTTTCACCTGCGGAGAGGCGCAGGGCTTCTCGGAAAAGTTGCTATCATTTTCGCTAATTGTCACAATATCTTGGTCCACCTTGGCCCGTGGTGCCATCATATTTTCGCCGGTCCGCGCACTCGAGCTTACGGTTACAACGTCGATATCGGAATTGGTGATGTAGTCAACGTCCGCAACGAACTGCGAGGGTGCGTTCTCCTGAATCCTATGCGGAATCTTCTGTTCCTTTATAAAAACATTCAAGTTGACTCTTTGCGCCTCGGAGGCATCAAACAGCTTTCCATTTTGTACATGCGTCGCAGACGCATTCTTGTCTTTCCCGTACACGTCAAAATGATTCCTTTGTACTTCTCGGTGACTGGAAAAGATCATGTTTTGCGATGTCTTGTGTTCCCGCGCGTTGTTCATCGTTTCCACTTCGTCTTCCGTGATACTGATGCAGGATTCACCGGAAAGCGTATTTTTCTTGGTGTTGACGACTGGATTTGTCACATAAACGGGCTCAATTTCATCCGCGTCGTACGACAGTTCTGTCGCGTGCTTCTGAGCGTCCGGATGTATCTTCTTCCTCACTTTACGCTTGTATATCTTTCTGAACGTTTCTCTAGTCTTTAAAACTCGTTCGATCGATATTTTGGGTATACCCGCGTAAGTCTCGCTCTCCGATTCATCTGAATTCCTGTCGTGTTCCGCTGAATTCGATAGCTGGACGGCATTGGAATCGTTTCTTATGCTTCCGTATCCCAGATCGGTGGAGTGTCCAATTGTGTAGCTTTTCAATTCTGTCAGTTTGTTTCCGAGCTCATTAGTGTTTGCAGGGTTGTCGTCGTACGCTAAACGTTGTTGTCTAATATTCGCTGGATTCGACAGCTGGACAGCATCGGAATCGTTTCTTATGCTTCCGTATCCCAGATCGGTGGAGTGTCCAATTGTGTAGCTTTTCAATTCTGTCAGTTTGTTTCCGAGCTCATTAGTGTTTGCAGGGTTGTCGTCGTACGCTAAACGTTGTTGTCTAATATTCGTTGGATTCGACAGCTGGACAGCATCGGAATCGTTTCTTATGCTTCCGGATCCCAGATCGGTGGAGTGCTCAATTGCGTAGCTTTTCAATTTCGTCAGTTTGTTTCCGAGCTCATTAGTGTTCGCAGGATTGTCGTTGTAACCTAAATATTGTTGCGACATCGTTTCCGATTTGGACGTCTCGTGACTCGTGAAAACCACCGAATCGTTATCGCATTCCGATCCCGTTCTGTAAGACACCACGTAATCCAAACAATCAAACATCTCAATAATTTTGTTGATGTACTTCGGAGAACAATTCTTGTCTGCCAAATTGTTAATAATGGTATTCAGCTTATCCTCCTGAAGAATATCCCTATAATTATATAATTCATCCACTTTTCTGATGGATTGATTGGTGGAACTGCACGGTGAATTTATATTCGATTTGACATTTTGCTTATCCTCATCAGGCAGCAATCTTATATTTTTTGTTTGCACAACAGGAATTACATCTCTCTCAGAATTGGAAACAAAATGCTTTATAAACGAAGTCTTTTTCTCATAATTTTGAATAGAACTACGAGTGGAGTGATTAAATTTTTCCTTCTTTTCAGATGTATTATTCAGATTTTCAGTCTTACTGTTATTTAAATTACAAGATCTCGTCGCAGAAACAGTTTTCTTATTTTTCACGCATGTATAAGTCAAATCTGTCAATTCGCTCTTTAAATCGTCATCACTGTCCGTAATAGGGGTGGGCCAACGAAACGTTACTGGGCATCCTTGATTGACATACGTCCTCCATATTTGATAAACATTCTCCCAATCGTCAGGAAAGCCATTATAAAATTTCCCGCGAATATAATCCGGTAATCCTGTAAGATATACAAGTCATTAATTTGTAAACTATGAAATTTTAGCAAATATCTATACAAATTATTACCATTTCTTTCGTCAACAATATTTCCTTGCAAAATATATTTGTGCTTGTACTTGGATTCAACACATGTTGCAGAGTATCTTCTTATAACTGGCTTGCTGCGTGCGATCTTTCCACTGTTCGCAAAGAAAATAAATATTTAAAAAGATGCCAATGTGATATTTTTATTTATTTTTTTACTCACCATTCTAATGTTCCTTTAATTATCAATTCGTATTGGTCGTTCAATGTAACTCTCCATTTCGAAAACACTCGGTCAATCTTTTGAAAATTATTGACCGGAATCGTCGAGGTGGCAAAAGTATTCAAGTACTCTTTGCCAGTGTGTGTATTAGTAGGTATCCAGCCAGGGGCGCTTTTCAAGGAAACTGTGTTTGCTGTGACGGAAGACTGCATAGGTCTGTCGAACGGGAACGACGCCACGTTCTCGCAATTCGACGACGTACGGACTCTGCCCTGTGGTTCCCTGAAAGCGCGATAAACCGTACTCGCCGACGGCGGTGGCATAACAAGCCGATCGACGTGGTTATCCGGCTGGACACGGTACTGCTTGACACTGGACGTAGTCATCGCCTCCTGCCTAGTATTGTGGCACTTCTTCTGCAACAGTATGGTCCTCAGATTATTGCTGGAAGCCAAGACCTCGCTCCTGATCGTAGAGACTTGCAGCGACGGCGGAGAGCTGGAATCCAAAGTGTCCACATTGATGCTGGAGATGCTGGGCCAGGCTGTCACGGTCGAAGCTCTCCCGTCGTGCGGAGAGCTCCTGCTGTTGCGCCTGTGCTGGTTCAGCACAGCCAGCTTCAAGGAGCGTTGCAGCCTCCTGTACCGCTCGTCTACTTGCAGATCCCCAAATGTGATCTGTAGCAAGGTTTCGAAATATAATTCGTAGGCTCGCGGTTATACAATTAGCAGCAATTATACAATTAATCTCCGGACTGACAACAGAAGTGTCCTTCAAACTTTCGTCGCCATCGACATGTACACATACCTCATAACGGTTGGCCATCAGAGAGCATTTAATTCTCAGAGGTTATGTTTTCCGTTTGTAACACAAATTTGCGCGTCAAACTTAAATTTTCACTCCGAAAAGCTAAAAGTAGTAGAAAAAAGTTGTGATAGAGATGATAGTGACAATAACACGAGCGTTAGTTCGTGACATTCCTGCGTCTCTCTCTCTCTTCGAAAAATTCAAGACCGCCAACTGCCGCCAACCAAGGAATATCTTTAAATTCAAACGTTCTGTCTTCCATTTGCCTTTATGAGAGAGAGAGAGAGAGAGAGAGAGAGAGAGAGAGAGAGATAGCAATAATTCTTAATTACATAATCTCTAATTATGAAAAAATTTGTAATTATATGAATACAACATAAATTGTAATATAATTAATAAAAATAGACTTAAAAAAAGCAAAGTTGGTTTTTTAATAAACGTGTGAGAAATTCTTGTATCTATATCTATATCGATGGAGATTAATAATTATAGTAGATATTTATGTAATTTTCTTTTAGTTACAAAAGTTTTAATTTCAAATAAATAATATCGAGTTGATAATGTGTATTTAATCGACAATGTTGATAAATGTCTGATATAGCCCTGACTCGAACCACATCCATTCTCTCTGTCTATGATTTTATCGGCAGTGTCAGCAAATGGTTGTGCTACGTAGTTCCCCTTCAAAGGTGGATGTGATCGGCGGTAGTGTACGGGGGAGTTTAAAGTCACTAGATATAATCTAGTGACTTTAGGGGAGTTCGCCCCCGAAAAACGCCGGGACGGAAACAGGCAATAAGGTTGGCAACGTTCAAACAGACGCGACTCCAAAGCTGAAATAAAAAATAATAATAATAATCGCTCAAAGTTCAATTAGAAAATCTTTCGATCGAACGGTCCGTCAATTATATAATCGAAATCGCAAATTGTGGGATCACCCATACATCGAAATATGAAGTGAGCTCCGATTTCTTTTTTTTTTTTTTTCGAAGTGTCAGTGCGGTAGTACGATTGTGTCAGCTGATCCGTGCCGTCATTGAGTCGTGCGACTCGTGCGTCCGATACGCGCGGAGTGCTACTGATAAATACCGGAACATTATCTGAGTTACTACCCGATAATACGTGGAAGGTTCCTCGATGGCGATAACACGGGTATATATCTGACCCCGTCGTTCACCGACACCCGTGATACATGTCGTCGCTTTTTGTAGGTGACAATGTCTGCGATAAACGTGAAGGCGCTCGCCCGTCAGAACGTCCGGAGTTTCTTGAATTCGTTCGACACCGTGCTGACGGACTGCGACGGTGAGTGGCGTGGATCGCGTGCGTACACCGGGGATCGGTACGATGATGATTTCCTTCAGGTCTCTCTTTCAGGCGTGCTATGGATGCACATGACACCCCTGCCGCACGCCGCGGACGTCGTGAACCTGTTCCGCGGTCTCGGCAAGCGGGTCTTCTACGTGACGAACAACAGCACGAAGACGCGCGACGACCTCGTGGAAAAGTGCAGGGCGCTGAAGTTCGAGGCGACCGCGGACGACATCCTGTGCACCGCCCACCTGTCAGCGTGTTATCTGCAAAGTTTAGACTTCCGCAAGAAGGTCTACGTCATCGGTTCCGAAGGTGAAGCTCCGTCCGCCGAATCAACGCGCGTTGTCGTTGTCTGCAAGTAGTACGTCGTGCGATCGTTTATTTATTCTGATGTTCGACTTTTGTGCAGCCATCGCGAAAGAATTGGAGCAGGCTGATATCTCGTATTGCGGAATAGGACCGGACCCAATTAACCCCAATATCCCGTATTCCGTTTTCGAGAAGGACCCCGAGGTGGCAGCGGTCATAGTCGGATTCGACGAGCACTTCAGCTACCCCAAGATGGTGAAAGCAGCTACGTATTTGAACGACGTCAATGTACACTTCATCGGCACCAACACCGACGAGAGATTTCCAGTTTCGAATGACGTCGTGATACCTGGTAAGACATTGAGATAATTTGTGTAGCTGGGGAATGATTGTGTAGCTTGGAATAATGTGAAAATTACAAAAGTGAGCAAATTCACTAAAATATTTTTAATTTTATTAGTCAATATCTAGTGAATTAGTTCATTTTTGTAATTTTCCTCCTCGCTTCAAGATACACAACAAGATTCCCTGTGTACTTAAGACATGCTGTTAATTAAAAATCTGCAACTTTTCTTGACGCAGGTACGGGAAGTCTGGTCAGATGTATAGAAAGTTGCTCGGAGAGGAAAGCAGTGATTATGGGTAAGCCGGACGAGTACATGGCTAAGATGTTGATGGAACGAGCCGACGTCGATCCCCAGCGTACTTTAATGATCGGAGATCGTTGCAACACCGATATTCTCTTTGGGACTCACTGCGGTTTCATGACTCTGTTAGTCTTGACCGGAGTAACCGCTTTGTCGGACGTTGAAAAGTGGAAGCGGTCCGAGCGACAAGAAGAGCGGGATCTAGTACCGAATTACTATATAGACGCGCTTGGCGATTTATTGCCGTACTTAAAAGAATTGGAAACTAAAATGTCGTAAATTCGCAAGGTTTTACCATGAAGACAAAAAGTATGTGCGCTATAACATTTTACTAAAAATATAGTAATAATTTTTTCCAGTATGCTGCAAGTCCGTATACATATGCAATATGTATCTCGTGCACACGTACATGTATATATATTAATGTGTATAGAATAATTTAACACTGATAGAACAGATTTTAATAAATTTTAACTATTTATATTATATATATATATATATATAAATCAATGGATTTTCATCTGTGTATAAATTTAAAAAAAAATTAAACCAAACATTTTGCAGTCCATCTTGGTTTATTTATTTTTTTTTTCGGAAGAAGTAGATGAAGTGCGACTATTGGAGTAAAAAATAAATGGAAAATATTTGGATGTTCCGAAGAGTAAAGGCGGAGGTGTGAAACGAGAAAGTAAATTTTCCAGTTTAAATCTTCCAACCCCATATTTATTTGGCAATGCCTTTTATATGAAAAAGTACACCTTTTTTTTAAAGGGATGATGCACATTTTGGATGAGAAAGGAGTACTGCGAGAGAGAGAGAGAGAGAGAGAGAGAAAGAGAGAAAGGAAGATAAATTGGCGAAGGATGAAAGGATGTGTGCAAAAAGATCGTGATAATACAATATATATTATTCAAATATATATAATATTTATATATATGATAATGGTAAACTTAATGGTAGAGAGAGAGAGATACGGATTCGTAATCCTTACCTAGAGCTTGTCGTAAACTCATAACAATGAAATATATTTAACGCGTTATATCATCATATAATATAAAAAGAAGCGTGTACGTGTATGTATGTATTGTGTGTATGTGTATGCGTGTGTGTGTGTGTGTGTGTCTTTCATCTCTCGTCATGTGTACATCTGTATATCTTATTTTATACTTTCTAAGTTTCGTCGGAGGGATGCTCTTCCCTTCCTAAATCTCTGCGGAGAGGAGAATTAAAGGTGCATGCCTATATATCTTACACATCCAAATATCGATTTCTCGAAGAGCACGAGTCTTAAAATTTTCTTTAACAGCTAATCGTTAACGGTTTCGATGCGTGAGAGTTATTTGTAGCGAGACAGCGTAACATTCATTACCACCATTACGTAATGTTTCGCAATGATATTACAAGAAAACCCGTATATTGTTTTTCTCAGATTGGACAACACAGAGACCTTCGAAGCCGCCTTCGCGCGGACCCGTGTTTCTCTCGGATATTGTTTTTCTTTTTTTTAATTATTATTAAAGGTTCGATATGAAGTTCCAGTGTGTAAATCACAGTTCACTCATTGATACACGTCGAAAAAATATAACGCATTCAAGGTACGCTTTAATTTCACAACAAAATGCATTGCGGCACGTCGATCGAGAGGATCGGATGTAACAATAAATAATTTCTCTTATACATCTTTTTTTTGAAACATATATCACAAATCTTTCGCGGACTAGAAAAACACGCGACAGTAACACTAGTAAACATAATCTTTGTTATAAGTAATATTTTTTTCTCTTTCCTGCTTATCTGCTTACGCTGCATTCAAAAATGTTATCGGAATTTTTTTTCAATGACAGACAGTGAGAGAGAGTGAAAGAGAGAGAAAAAGAGTTTTAATTTTTTGAAATACGTAAAATAAAGAGAGATACGCTTGAAGAAAGCATATGATCGCTTTTTTTTTTATTGCCATGCTACACTATCCTCTCGGAGGCAAAATTTGCATTAGTTTACGCGCGCCCGTAGAGATCCCGGATCCTATGGACGATTAAACATTGATACAGCCTTAAAAAGTATAATATGTATTTCGATATGTGCGATCACTTAAGTAGAATCGCCGCCGGTGTATTGCAATCGAGGAGCTCACCTCTTTTAAATCGTCTTAAATACACGTTAAAAACAAAATTATGCATTACATAGCTTCGCTATGCATAATCTTAATTCTTTTTTTTTTTTTAAGGATATGTTCTTGAGCTCTCGGAAGTAAGCTCTTCGATTTCGTGGATCGTCGTCGCTTCCCTCTCGTTCTCTATGAATTAGTACGTATTAATGATTAGTCTTGTAATTGGCACAAGTTTTCTCGTGTATTTATAGGTATAGGTAATCGAACGGTTTTAACAAGAGAGAATGGTACAATATCTTGCGGTGTCAATCGTAGACGGTTCGGATTAATGGAGGGGAGAAAAAAGCGGATGATGATGAGAAGAACGACGTGAGAGGGATTCCACATAAAACGATTCTCTGCAGTCATCCAACACCGTTTGGAAAACTGACACGGATATTACTTTCGCTACATTTACATTATAATGCCGTATTATAATTGAGACAAGATTAACAACAAGCAATTCCTAACGAGAGGGCGAGAAAGACAATAAATCGATAAACTTTTTCACAGATATAATAATAAATCAACGAATTTAAATCTAATCATTTTCCTGCAGCACTCGCTCCAGATCTCTGGTATACAGAAAAGAAAGTATTTTCGTATTTCATAATGACAAGTTACGCCGCAAGCATGTTATTATTTTTGAAATGTTGTTACAAGTGGAATAAGTAAAATTGGCGACACACACACACACACACACACACACACACATGCGCGCGCGCACTTACGCAGGCATGCAGATATACACACATGCACACTCGAAAGAAACCGCATACACACACACACAAACACACATGATAGTCGTTCGATAATATCTCTAACGGAAATTGCGAAAATTAATGATACGCTGCAATTTTGTCAAAACGACTTACGACCATACAGAGTGATTAAAACGTATGTCGCTGAACTTGAGACCATAAGATACTATTTTTTTTTTAATAAGATAACATTTTAACATTCGAGATATTTTAATTTTCTTCTTATTTTTTTAAATACTTATTATGAAGTATTTATTGTATTGCAATAAACGAATTATTATTATCAAGCAAAAAGATCTTTCAACATTCAGTTTATAATTAAAAGTGAAAAAATGTGTTACATTAGGCGCTTCTCTTCTTTGTTCTATATAAATATATTCTTAAAATTTGTACAATTCTGCAAAACCTTTTCCGTCGATTAAGTTGTTTTCCCGAAACAACTTTTGATTGTCTAAATTTGAGAAGATATAATACTCATCGCACAGAGATAAAATATAAAATAATTTATTGCATATGTATATAGACATCAACAGTGTCAATCTATTAAATTACACTTTGTTAATAATAATAAATTTGCAGACATTAATTAGCCAATATTTTCTTTTTTTCCCACGTACGATACGCAATCGAGCGACATAGATTTGAATTACTCTGTAATCTCCTTCACAAACTCTAAATAAAGATCCGTTCCTTCTGCTGGAATGTCGCTGTGTGACGGTGCTATGATTGTCGACGAGACAAAAAAAAATCAAACATTATTAAGTATTTTATGCTTGGCGAAATGAATGAAATGGAGAGAATGCACGTCATGTGTTTCGAATATAACGGTAGAAGAATATGTATGTGTGATATGCGTGTATGTGTGCGTATGAATGCATGCTTTATACATACAGGACATCCAAAAAATATTCGGACTTGTCTCCTTCCACGTATTTGACTAAATTTGGAATCGATCTTTCCTCCAAAATAAAATAAAAAAATAAGTCTATAAATCAAATTTCAATTAAAAAGTTAAATTTGCAAAACGCGAATTAGGCTTGGAATAGATATTGAAATTTTAATTGACTATCATATTTTAGATCTATCTTAATTTGATGAGATTTATAATTATAGCTAAAAAGATAGAGAGATTAAATATTATAATATTACAAAAATTTACAAGGAAGCGATCATGCAGTTCCAAATTGATAAAAAAAATATTATAATTGATGGAAAAATGCGATTTTTGCGATATCCTGTACGAACTGTATACACTCGTGGCTTCGGCCACACGTTTAGAGATTAACAAATAAATACAGATATATATACACGCGCCGGACTATATGTATGTGTGCCCAAGCCGACGCGTTATAAACTTAGGCCCGCGTTTATATTTCGTATTTAACATTATGTATATATAGCAGCCATATATATTCTCAATCTCATATAACATTTTACGCGCAACTTTTATTTATGAGACAAATAAAAACCTGCACCTGCGACAGTCACGTAATTTTAGCGCTAAATGCAAGATATAAACGCCAGCCCTAACAAATCGATATCGTCTTATAAAACAACTAAATGAAAACATTTGTACTTTAGCAGTATAGAGCAGTCATTTTTTGTCGTAGTTACCCTTAATATCGTTTTATCTTCGTTTATATTATATTTTATACATATATATGTAATATATATTCTTTTAAGAATAATTCCCGCCTCCCTTGGCACGCCGATATCGCCCACCGTTATCATTATCCTTGTCGTCGCCTTCATCTTCGTTAATTATGTATACATGATATTCCGAGTGTTCACGCATTTTCCCTCGACTACCGGATCGTGCGATTGCCAGGCAATGAACTTTGGAAAACGTTTCAGAAATTTCAAGACAAAATTAAAACATTAGAAATTAAAAAGATTTAAATAATCTTTCAACTGCAACTTGTGAAATCGAGGTATCGTTTCGCGAGAGTATCGATCTGCAAATAAATAATATTTCAAATTCTCACATAATTTTTCAATTGATTTCTTTTATTTCGATAAAATGTTAATTGGAAGATTAATTATTGCCAGACGGAATTTTTTCGCCGATCCAAAGTCGCGAGTAAGCGCGCAATGACTGGGATACTTTGTATATGCACGTACATACAGTGGCGAGCATGTAAATAGGAACGAACATTTATTACAATTTATTATTCGGCCCATAATTTCTTCGCGTGAAGAGACAAAATTTGTTTATGTATAATAGTATCTTATTTCACGGAGTGCATACCTTAATGATGTGAAGATTAATACACATTGATATGTATTCTCTTTTAAATCGTAGCAATATTAATTTCAACAAAAGTGAGACAGATTTTTGGAAGTTTTCTCTGAAAGATATAAGATATTTTAAGAAGAGCACGGTATTCACTATTTATACGTTGACCACTGTTTACATATGTCCAAGCCGCTTGATAAAGAGAGTATAGTATAAGTTGAAATATTCGGTAACATGTATTCGAGTATTCGAATTGAGAGAATCAGTTTTCTCGAATTTGTCTTTATAATTTAAAGAATCTACACACGAATGTAAACGAGTCTTATACGGAGATAGAATTTGTTAACGATTTTGTATTCAGACAATGCTCGCACTTCTTTCGTCAAGCGCCTTTAGACGTATATACGATGGACACAAATTCGCGCAAATATTTAATACAATAAAATTCTCCTTTAAATCAATATAAAATCGATTTCTCCTTAATATCAGAATATTTGAAAATATATAACTTCTCGCGACCTGAGTTTCATGAATAATTAATAACATTTTACTTTTTAGATAATTTTAAATTGGACTCAAACAGAATCTCATTTTGAAAAAAACTTAACATTGTATTATTCGCAAGTAAAAAAAAGGAAATAAAATAAAATAAAATCAAACTGGTGACGATTTGAGTCAAGGGAGAAATTGGCTCTATAGAATTTGTTGGCGGAATTTCACTATGCGAATTTGTAGCTGTCCTGTATATTATGAATGTAAATATATCACCGATTTTGATGTATGTCGAAGAGAACGGGTATGCATAATGTGTGCATGTAACCGAGATATTCTATACTAAACCGAAGAGCGATTATTATGTATAGCCTTAGCAACTGCGGGCGGAATACATAGAAGTATTTCGAAAAACCGTCTGGACCGTCTTATCATTCTAGCGTTTGCCTTTCCTTGACTTAAATAGCGCCGCTGACAATATATGACGTCGATATAGATCATAATCACTAATAAGTACACAATCAATGTAGCAATAATAATATCTTTATCAATAATAATTATAATCGTAATAATAGTTATGATAATGATGGTAGCAATAACGATAATAAACATATCGATGATAATGATAATAGCAGTGGGAGGAGCACAGCGATAATAATCGGATTTTAACCGCAATAATATTATTAATTATAACGATATTGATTATACCAACGATTTGTATAAGTATATATACAGATACTAATATAGCACCATGACCGAAATCTCGAATCTCGAAACCTAAAAGAGATGAAGCGAAAGATTAAATTAAGAGAGTCCAGGGGGTGGCGAAACGAGGACGGGCTAAGGGGAGAGATAGGGCTAAAGAAATGGGCGAACTTTGCGTCTCGGTCGGAATACGAGAGGAAAAAGGGAAAGTTGGGGATGTGAGACCAGGGGAGAAGAACAAACTCGTCCTTTCAAGTTGGTTTTAGTTAAAAAAAATTGAAACAAATGAAATGCTCTTCGACATGAAATGATAATAGGAGAAAAGCCGATAAGAACCAGATTGCAGATGTTGGTGGAAAGTATGCACGTCGGTGATTGTTACTACAATGATCTCGAGCCGCTCTAGATCCTGCTTGATGGCAAACGCAGTTTCGTATACGGTGAAATAAATATTTATGCATCAACGTCTGCGATCCGGCTTTTATCCGGCCCTTCCCGCACTACATATCAAGGTTTTTAATATACTCGATTATCATTCTGTTTTTTTGTTTTATGTCGCATATAGTTTCTTCCTTTATTACCGGCCAATCGTCGCGTTTACGCGGTTACGAAAAGTCGAAGAACGAAGGATCGCCGGCGATCAGGGCGAAAGATCTGGGCGAGATCAGGGCAAAGGGGCATCAGGGCGAGATCTGGACACGTTCCTAAAAAGTGGAGCGTCATCGATTCGCGCGCGGACAACCGGCCAAGAACGCGAAGGAACACTATCGGCGCTGCGCAAGGACGACGAAGGACGATTGACCGGCGCGCGTCGTCGCTAAGAGACAGAGACAGATAGAGAATTATCTTGCTTTTTATCATAATAATACAATATTATGCTATATTATTACTATGATGTATTTGGCCGTTTAATTATATACTCCAGCAACACTCTCGCCAGAACACCTCTTCAATTCACGATTGCTACCTCGGCGAATAATTTTCGTGGGACTAGAAATTTTGAAGAGTACGACCGTGACGTAACCGGAGAAAAAAATGTCGATCTCTCGGAAGAGGATAATATTTCATTTATCGTTTATTCGCGTTTCGCGTTTTAAAAAAATTAATGTTTAGAAAACCTTCATCTTTCTTTCTTTCTTACTTAGGTTTTCTTCTTTTTTTGGACATCGAAATTCCTCGAAATTGAAAAATGATGCTATTTCTTAAATTTTAACAAGTCAAGGGATATCGATGTCACTTCTTATAAAGAGCCATTGTCCTTTCTCGAAATTTCATCCGAAACTCTAATCGACATTTTTCTCATTTCGCAATGATCGGATAGAAAGCGGAAAACAATATGACGATCAATAAGCGCCAAGTCACGCACGTTCGACTTGTATTGAATCACGAGAGACCTTCCACTGTCGATTACGATGATTAGAATATAAAAGCGGGAGAACACTACCACGTAATCGTGATCGTTGCGTTGTAATCACCGATATGTCCTACCTTGCGATTCGCTCGACATTAACGCGTTTAATTAACAGCTACTTCTTTTTTTTTGCAATATAGCTTCAATATAATGTTCCTTTGTAATATACATATATATATTTCTCCTATATATATATTTGTATATATATTTATATTATATTAAACGGTGATATCCTCTTTGTCCAATATATTAATTAAGTATGATATGTTTATTCACAACTTGATGTGAGCGCTTAGAAAGAGTGAGAAAAGAGCGAGAGAAAGAGATAGAGTGATAAAGATCGGAAATCCTTCCTTCCTTCCCTTAATATCGCAAGGACAGCGTCTTCGATTCCTCTTTCGATTTGAATGATAGCGATAATAAACCGGGTTAACGTCGTTACTTTAAGCACGCCCGGCGTATAGGTAAAACAGTGTGATATCTATATCAATAAACTTCTTTTTTTTTGCTCTCTTATTCCATGTTTCACGGATGAGTATTTTTCGATGCACTCGCGCACATGTCGCACACAGCCGCACACGCGCACACACACGCACGCACATACATACACAAACACACACAACAAACATGTGCACAAGTACGTGCATACGCACGCCCTGCGATTACATAATTGTTACGCATTACACGCTAGTCATTGTCAGAAAGTTTATTAATGTTTAAAAGTTTGAAGAGCTGGTCGCGCTCGCCAGGTGTAGGGCCGTTCCGCGCGGAGTCGCGGAGTCGGGCTCAGAATTCTTTTGGACGTGGGTGTGCGCGAGTGTTGGGTGTTACGTGTATGCATGGTCCATTTGCCGATCGGTGCGCATCGTTCGTCAGATTTTTGTACGTACGCAAACGTATATATAAGTGCCGGACTCTCGTCGCCGTTCTTCCGCGGCGCAGTTTACAGATCACAGACACGTGGTTCGCCGCGACGAGTAAACGTGCAGTTTTTTTTCCGTGCGTGGATCAATTGAGGAACTTTAATCCGAGTCGCCGTTTTCATTCCGGTTCTCCCCCTTGCGCGCGCTTCCGCCCGGAACAGCCTCCTGAAACGTCGCGCGACGATATATATAATTTTATATATATATATATATATAAAATTATATAATCATATAATTATATATATGTATATATCGAGATATAATTCGCTATTCTACTTGTCGAGTAATAAAAATAGAGATTGCATAGATCGAAATTCGTAGCAGATGCGCCTATAAGAAGATACGTCCTATAAAGATTTTCTCCCGAGGCTTACAGCAATGAAATTTGTGTACGCTCCGTTTCTCCAGCGCCTCCCGTGCGCCTTTAATTACATACGTAAGCTCATAGCTGCTGTATGCGTATATGTATGAGTGTGTGCTCGCGCTTTGTGTCGCGCGAGCCTCGTGCTCAATCGCACGCGCGTTTTGTTACATTTACGCGGCCGTACAATCGTTCATCATCTCGATGTAGCAACAGATCAGGCTCGAAAATGACAAGTTCGACTTTCGATGGTGCGGACGCAGGAAAATGCGGCCATCTCAACTGGCCAGTTAGCGGTATAAGAATCTAGCAAATTAAAATTATATCTCAATTCAGTAGACATTTCAATCCTTTGTATAATTATATAATGTAGCAATAAACAATTAAGAATCCGTTTTATTATTGCGTATTATTATATATAATTATAAAAAATTAAGAAGACCACGCGATATTCTCAATTTTTATTTCGAAAGAAGGCGTGTAGCTCTTCTCTGCCGTTATAAATTATATCGTTCATTGAAATTAATTTTTTACACGTGTCCGCGACATCGAAATTCGATCGCAATTACGCTGGCCGCGACATCTGCAAGAGACACGTACGTGCTCGACAATGCTTAATACACGAGGGAACACTTTGTAATCTTAATTTCTGATATGTCCGTTGAGTATAGTTGGTGTTTCTGATGCTATCATTTGGCCGATTTCCGTTCTAGCCGCTCAGACGGGTACTGCACGCTCGTATATATTTATATATACATATATATCCTTAAATCTTAGAATTATCTGAAGAAACAGAAGAACAAAACAAAGGACAGAATGTTGAGCACGAACGGACGTCCATGACTCGGTTACGCTTTTTGTGCTTTGTTCTCTCACAACTCGCGACGCTCGTTTAATTAAAACAGCCATCTATTTACTTGGCGCGGCGGCAAAGCGGCGCGAAAGATCTCTCCCTCGTCGACTGAATATTTCAAGTGTATAATACGCCCGTTCGGAGAACGCGCCCGCTGTAGTGCGTGTGTGCTATTGCCTGGCGAATAGTACAAAGCCGTTTTCCGTTGAATTTGAGCAAATTGCGCCTGCGAATTTTCCTCCGAACTTGCGCGGAGAAGTTCCGCCTTATTGCTTGCGCGGGCCCTTGAAAGGTGATCTTCTCCTCTCTTGAGATCATCTTCTGTTATATTCGCTGGAGGCGATCAAAACATCTTAGAGAAGTTTCCCAAAAGATCGCCGTCAGAAATTCACGCTGCTCGATCTCGCCGCTGTTCAGATAATCGACGATTGCGCCTGTAATTTTCCCCTTTCTCTCTTTCCTTAATTTTCTAATACGGCAACTCCCTCGCGAAATCCCCCTCGGCTGCTTCCTTTCCCGCTGACTTACGAACAACCCGAGAAATATCCCGCGACACGTCAATGGGAATCATCGTCGACGATAGCCGTCGACAATCGCGTCTCCGCTTTTCCTTTCCCTTCAATTTTCTAACATTTCTTGCGACAGACAATCTTCACAGGCATGCTTCATTCCTCGTGTTTCAACCTGTCCGTTCTTCATGTAACTCGGATCTCGTTAGATCTGTATCTTGCTAACTCTACGAGTTAAAACGAACGATTCTAGATCTATTCAGAACGGTCTTGGTAAGCGCTGGGCGACTCGATTTTTCGCCAACACCACGGCATCATTGGTCTCGAATTACCTCGCTGGTTGTTTACAGAGGCTGCTAAACAAAGGATATTTCGCTGTATTCGGCAATTCGAAATCTTGAGATTGGATAAATTGAATAAAGTTTAATTCAACCAAATTTAATTTATCAACATAATTAAACAACAATAAAACAAATTAGACTGATATCTGTGGAGAAACTGTCAAAGCGACAGAAACAGATGCGGTTCGCGAAAAACAATCCATAGACTAATTAGTCTAAATCTAAACTGTTTGATGTAACGTTGCATTAAGACAATTAAGAATGCTCGCATTACCATATTGAATTATATATAAAAGTATCAATTTCGTGTTATTTTACAATCGCTATTACGATGCAAATGGCGAAAAGGGAAATTATTTGCAGACTTTATAAATCGAAAGAATCAAATTATCAAATAATCAAAAGAGAAGCGAGAAAAAATAGAAGTACATCGGATAATATGGATAAAAGCGAACAAAAAGTTTTCAGAGAAGATAAAAAGCGAGCATTTGTTTAAAAATAAAAACATGGAGCATAAACACATCCTGCATTTGGTATTAAATTCCATTTTGAAGCATTTGATTGCGAATATTATTGCTGTCAGGTCAGTTATCGATTATCCAGCCAAATACAGAATTCACGGTTCTTATTGCTCGTATCTTTTTCACGGCGTTATCAACGTCATTCTATTTCTAGAAATAAATACTTCAAGTAAGCAATTGCTCCTTCACGGAGAGTTCACGTCGCTGAATACGAACGAAAATTCACTTTCCCCGCCCCTTTCATTCACACGACCGTTCTCTATTCACTTATCGCGGAAAGATTACCTTTTCATTGCAAATCCTCCTCGCACTTGGGAATGTCGAATATCTCGGCGAACAGCGGCGGTAACTTGAGCTTCGTCCAGTTCCTGCGGAACCAATCCAGGAGATTGGCGTGTCTGGCGCCGAGCGCCCTCAGCTCGGGTATCCTCTGCGAGACGTTGGTGATCGCGGTGCTGCCGGCACTCTCGCCGGAGGGCCGCGCCGCCTGCACCCTCAACGCCTCCAGCACGCGATCCTGCAACCTCTGCACGGCCTTGACGTCGTTCAGTCCCGGCCGCTCGTTCAGCAGCACCGCCGCCGAGAACAGGCCTAGCTCGGTGTCCGTCAGTTGGTGGGCGTTCAGCGACGACGTGACTTGCATCAGCGCGGACACAAAGTCGGGCTGTCGCGAGAGAATAAAATTACAACGATCGAATTAATATAACAATAAAGACAACTGACGTCGGAGAACGCCTAAATCTATTATTTTATTGTCAACTTGTTCCTCGTCAGAGAAAAAATTGTTGATTCTACAGTTCTATGTGATAACGAATTTGAAATCTATTATAAATTCAAAAGTATCAATTTATCGAGGCTTAGAGAAATAGGTACAAGTCTGTGTTACTTCGTAAGATGAAATTAAATTATCGCAAGCTAAATCGTGTCAATCAACCACTTTCGCTTTGAGCTCACCTCGTACATCAGTTCCAGCTGCTGGCGGGTGAAGTAGGTGCCGTCTTCGAAGGTCATCGAATTGTCGGTGGTCATCTTGGAGATGTGACAGAGCCACACCTCGAAGAAGCCGACTTTGATCAGGATCAGCTGGTCGTCCTGCGAGAGCTCGCAGAATCCCGGCATCCGTTTCGCGAACTCCACCACCCTCTGTACCGACGGCGTGACCCTCGTGGCAAATTGCTGCCACAGCCAGATCCTCTGCGACTCGACCGTCTCCGCGGTCGAGGACGCCGCTTCCGGATCTTCTGGGCTCGCGGGCTGCGAAGAATTACTCGCCTAATCAGCAAGATTACAAACAGACCTGCGAGTTTGCTATACCACTTCCAGCGGGAAGAGTCTGCGCGCTAATGCGTATAATGAGAAATTAAACTAATTCCGTTCTGCACCGAAAATGGGACACAACGAAACGATAGTGTCCTTTTTCATTCTTTAAATCAAGCCGGAAGATCTTTATTGTATATTATATTAGAAAACATATGGATCTATATTTAATTACTATTATATGGTGACTACTGATTTAAACTGGCGATGAGATTTTAGAATCGCGACGAATTAGTTTCCTTTTTCATTTTTTAATGGCTCACCGGTATTATCATGGGTTTCCTCGTAAGGCCCCTGGTGGACTCTTCCGTGAAGCCGCAATGGGCGTGATGAGCCTGTGACACCTGATGAATCACATCGTACACAGCCAGTTGCTTCACGTCAGCATCCGATTGATCGGCCTCGACCACCGCCGCCGACGGCACCCGCGAGATTGCGTTCTGGCTCTGGGTGTTATTGTTGTTGTTGTTATTATTATTGTTGTTGTTGTTGTTGTTCTTGTTGCTGGCGTTGTTGTTGCCGGTGTCGGGCGTAGTCAGTTGCTGCATTTCCATGGCCGCCATCGTCGTCGTCGTCGTCGTCGTCGTCATGGTCGTCGCCATCGTGTCCTCGGGGCCGCGTTCTCTCGAGCGTTTCGGCACCCTGCCGTATCTCACGGCTGCAAAGAGACACGGGCAACGTGTGATCGCTGGGGAGGAACTTTTCAGATATTCAATGGAATTATTTACATATGCTTCTCGCGTTCTCCTCGTGACACGCCAGCGACCCTCGCTATATTGATTTCCATAAATAGAACCTTCGATATATAATTGAAGATATTTTTGCGAATACGAAAGATCTTGGAAGCAAAAGAACTAAAAATCTTTCTCTACAGATAATCTTAAGTAGGCTTTTTTCAAAAGTTGAAATGACAAAGTAATGAAAATGCGAGAAAGTAGGGAGATCCAGGTTCAAATCTTGGCTGATATTTTTCGCAATTCTTTACAGGTTTTGGGGGGAGGAGGATTCTTATAGATGCTTGTTAGCATCAAAACATTAAATGGCTTGTCGATTTAATTCGTTGCAGCGGATTCCGATAAAGAACTGTGTTGTAAAACCGACAAAAAGTGCGACGCGCAGTTTGTGAGTGGTTAGATATTGTAACAATAAAAATTATTATGCATCCCAATATCCGTGTCGGCTTGTATTGACATTACTTTGTAATTTCTGATTTATTTTTAGAAACCTAATACCTTTAAATTTAATTTTTTTTTTTTCAAAATGTTATCACGTCGGTATGCTTTCGTATATGATAATAAGAGCGAGGGTAATCTTTCTCGTTGAAAACTGGAATGATTTTTGTTCGCACAAGTGTTAAAAAAACAGATGGCTTTTGAACTGCGGCTGATTAGAAATGGAGGATCGTGCGGCGAATCGCGCTTCAGGGACATAGACAATAAAGTCTCACGGCCCAAGTAATTTCAGGTAGACTTTAGTTTCATGGAAACTCCGGATTTAAACGCCGCAGTCTCAAGATATTTCACGTCAAAAGTTTGAACGTTTCTGAAAGTTGCGTCCCGCGGATTTAAATGAAAGCCATCTCGTTTGCGCGTTCCTCTAGATTATTACACTCCGGGTCTACGCGAGTCTACGTGAGTTCGTTACAATTTCGTTTGCGACACGTGACACGTGATGATGAAGCGGCACTCGCAGGTAGCACGTCGTACACGTAGACCGGTATTGCGCCCCTGGAACTCTGACGTTTAATTATGTACACGCCTGCCCTTTGGTTTACTTTGCTCTCTCGGCACGGGCGGCAAGTAGATTTTGCATCACTGACGGCCAGAATTGCGATCTCGTACGTAGAATTCTGTTTGAATTTCTAACGGCGCCGCGAAGCGCGGACCCGTAAGCACATTTTTTAACACACGCGCGAGGAATCAAAGTCGACTTGTCATACTCGGCATATACAAATACAACTAGCAAATTAACATACAATCTCGCTAAATACTTTTTACTTTTGATATGTTTCAATATTATCTTTCTCTCTCTTTGTCTATGTATAGTTACTGTATAATAAATTTAAACAATTCATGGACTGTTTTAAAAATTTCGTAAAACTTTCTGCTACAATAAGGAAAAAAGAGAAAATACAGAAACATAAATCTTTACAAATTATAATTTTTTACTGTAGTTGCCTCGGAACTCAAATAAATAATAACGCATATAAAGGCCGTATCATATCGTACTAGCGACTCGCAACTGCGACTGCGATTGCGACTGCAATTGCAATTCCTTCTTGGCCAATCAGAAAGCAGCGATTGCGACTCGCGACTATCATTTGACTAGCCGTCCATTGTTTTTAAATCACAGTCGCAGTCGTAGTCGCAGTCGCCTCTGATTGGCCAAGAAGGAATCGCAATCACAGTCGCAGCCGTGAATCGTTAGTGTAATACGGCCTTTACGAATTTTTAAATAATCTTTTGCAACATTCGATATTAATATATTTCATAAATCGTTAAAAAAATATACTTGGCGGGAGCCGCTACCGCGTCTCCTGATAATTATTTGATGTCTTATAGAAACAAAGTGGAATCAATGGAAAATAATCAAAAACATTTTCTCCTTTTGGAAAATATACGCGATATTGGTCAATTTCTTTATAAATACGGAATCTGCGTGTCACGAAATTAAATATATTCGATAACGTTGCTCGAAGTTTCCTCGAGAATATATTATACGTCTCGGAATTTGCCGACTGTCTAGACGGAGTGTTAAAAATTGTTAAACGGTAGCGCGAACACGGTACTTACAGTCTCTGGACATGCCGACGGCTAGGCACTTCTTGAATCTGCAGTACTGGCAACGGTTCCGATTTAATCTGATGACAAGACACTTGCCGTCCCTCAAGCACCTGTACTCTATCTGCTTCTGTATGCTCCTCCTGAAGAAGCCCTGAAACAGGAAGTAAGGAAGCGCTATTAATAACGATCCCATAGACCGTCGCGGAGTTAATTATATCCCTCTGCGTATAAAATACGACACTCCGTGCCCTTCTTTGTAACGCCGAGAGTGCAGGAAAAGCGAGAGAGCTAACGGAAAACGCGCTCATGAGAAAAGCAAGTTCTCGAACGCGCTTCTTATTATATCGCGCATTTTCCCGGATGGGAAATTCTCTATTATGATTACATCGGAATTTGTATGCTTACTAATTAATAATAAATGATAATTAAATAACCCGTTGTGTATCTTTGGGTACGGCAGAACTACTGAATATCTGCTTAAATTCTCCGCGAAAGGAGTCAATTTTTTTCGGTGGAGATCTTCGCAGATAATTATTATTTGTCAAACTCTTAATTTTTGACGTTAATTATTTTGAAGAGTTTGCTGTAACAGTGCGTTAACCTACATTTTATAAAAATAAACATAACATAAAAATGAAGAAAATGAACTCTCTCGAAAATTAAAGTAATGGAAAAATATTTATTTTTACCAATAAATATTTTCAATTAATTCAATTTACCAATAAATATATCATACATCTATTCGGCTATATTGTATTAGTCCACTGTTGTAACAAACTCTTCAACTAAATCCAAATTCGTTCAAAATTTATTCAAGTAATTTGCTCACAATCAGTACTTTAGAATAAAATCCCTAATTTATATTAGGGATTTTATTCTAAAGTACTGATTGTGAGCAAATTACTTGAATAAATTTTGAACGTGAATGAGAAGCAACAGTTATTTCAAAGATTCATAAGAAACTCTTCAACTAAATCCAAATTTGTTCAAAATGTATTCAAGTAATTTGCTCACAATCAGTACTTTAGAATAAAATCCCTAATATAAATTCGTTCAAAATTTATTCAAGTAATTTGCTCACAATCAGTACTTTAGAATAAAATCCCTAATATAAATTAGGGATTTTATTCTAAAGTACTGATTGTGAGCA